CGGGCGCGCGGACGCGCGCGCGATGGACGCGCACCGTTGGGCGGCGTGCGCGAGCGATCGGACGGGGAGTGCGACGGCTGGGGGATGATTCGCGGATGCGGCGGGACGGGGCGCGGCGCGGCGCGGCGGAGACGGTTGGGTTTTTGTCGGACGCGCACGGGGTGTTTCGAACGGTGTCGGAACATCACGGGATGGTTTTGGGGGACGCGACGGCGCGGTCGTTCGAGGCGCTGGCGCCGAGGATTGAGATCGGGGATGGGATCACGCCGTTGTCGTTCGTGAAGCGCGCGGTGGAAATCGCGCAGGACGCGATGGGGTTGTTGAACGGAGAGCGTACGGAGACGGCGTTGCCCACGGGGGAGGTCGTGCGGGCGCTGGAGGATCCGGGGGAGTTTGTGGCCGGGATCGCGGGGACGATATCGAGGGAGGCCGCGGCGGGGGCGGTGATTGATGATCAGGAGTGGACCAAGGTGTTGAAATCCGTGGATGTGGACATCGGGCTCTTGCTCGCCTCGGTGGTGCTCATCGTTCCGCTGTTCAACCGACTCAAGTTGAGTCCGGTGTTGGGATTTTTGGGGATCGGTCTCGTGCTCAATCGAGCCGGGTTATTCATCGAGAATCAAGAGGTTGATCAGTTTTGCGAGCTCGGGATTCAGTTTTTGCTCTTTGAGATGGGACTCGAGTTGTCGTCAAAAAAATTACAGTCTCTGGCCAAGTATGCGTTCGGTCTCGGGCTCTCACAGGTGCTCTTCGTGAATTTAGTATTCGCCGCGGCGCTACTCCCGGCTGGGAACGCGCTTGGGACGAAGGTGTTGGAGTTCATTCAGCCGGGTAACGATCAGCTGTTGCAGGTGTCGTCGGTACTCGAGGCAATCGTAATCGGCTTTGCGCTCTCGCTCTCGTCCTCGGCGTTCGGGTTGCAGCTCTTGGCCGATCGTAACATGCTCACCACAAAGTTTGGTACCGCATCTCTCGGGGTTTTGCTGTTCCAGGACTTAGCGGTGGTGCCGTTCATCATCCTGTTGCCTATTCTGCAGTCGTTCCGCAGCGGCGGAGGCGACGTCGATTTTCCCGTGCTCGCCGCCGGCGGCGCGACATCCTTCCTCGATTTGGGTGTCTTGGCGTTTGGAGGTAGGCAGCTCGCGATCGCTGGATTCCGCGCCATCTGTCGAGAGAATTGCACGAACGACGTATTCGTCGCCATGTCGCTCCTGGTGCTCTTCGGGTTCAGCTTCGCGACGAGCGCCATCGGTTTCTCCGATTCACTCGGCGCGTTCCTCGCTGGCATCATTCTCGCCGACACGCCCTACTCGCACACTATTATTCGCGAGCTCCAGGCGTTCAAAGGTTTATTTCTTTCGTTATTTTTCGTCACCATCGGTACCACGATCGATTTGCCGCTCTTCATCCAGCTCTGGCCGATCGCGCTCGTGATGACGGTGACGCTCATGGCGAGCAAGACAGCCGTCATCACCGCTCTCGGCGGGGTTGTGGGTTTGTCCTGGCGCGAGGCCTTGATCTCAGGCGCGTTCTTGTCGCAAGGAGGCGAATTCGCGTTTGTGATTTTTGGCCAAGCCACGTCCGGTTCCACCGGTTCGCTCTTCCCGATGGGCCTGGACGAGTTGCTCGTCATCGTCGTCATCTTGTCCATGGCGCTCACGCCGCTCGCCGTTGACTTGGCTCTGAGGATTGCGGGCCCTGATTTTGTCATGGCTTGCCAACTCCCAGAGAACACGATCGACGAGGAAATGATGGACGTGGCGATCGAAACCCAAGCGAACAGGAACGGCCTGGACATTGCCGAGATGGCGGGCGAACCGATGGGCTCATCGATGTCGGTCGACGACGACGCAGACATCGAAGTCTGGACAGGAACGAAGTAAACTGTACATTAGAGGCACGCGACCATAATACAGTATCAGATTGTACAATCAACAACAGATATTTACACGAACACTACACCTCACGCCGCATACTCGTCCGTGCTCGTGTCCGACACGCTCGAGTCGTGCGCAGAGTAATCGAGCGTGGTTGACATCGAAGCCTCCATCTGCGCAATCTCTCGCTCGAGCTCCTCGATTGCTTGCGGCGTCAAGTTACCAATCGCACTCAAATCTTCTTCGCATACATCGCATTCATCGTCACTGTCGCCCGCGAATCCTCCAGCGAACTCGCGAAGCTCTCCGTTTTCTCTCACGAGTCTCTGGTTCTCGATCGAGAGGGACGCCTTTTCACTCATCAACGCCTGCACTTGTGCTCGAAGCTGCTCGACCAAAGCCGTGGTCTCGGGATCGACCGCGCCCTTGGCCTCTTTCGAAGCGTGTCGTCGCTGAAGCGCCATGTTTTGTCGCCTGAGCTCCTCTTTCTCCTTGTTGCTCTCCCTCAGCTTTGCGTTCGCGTTCGCGAGCTCTTGACGAAGCGCCGTCGTCTCATCCTCGCGCTTTGACGGCGTCGGCACGAAAGACATCGCTCTCGGGGCCAAATTTTCCTTCCCTCCCGGCGTCTCGCACCGCCCGGGCGTCGCTCGCGAACGATCCTCGCTCGCGCGCTTCGCGACGCCCGCATCCGTCAACCCCTCCATCCAATTCCCGCCCAAGAAACTGCTCGCGCCTCGACTCAGCGCCTGCGTCACCGCGTTCGCCGTCCCGATCGTCCCCTGCATCACCGCCTCGATCGCCACATCAATCGCATCGTCCACGCGTTCCAACACCTGCTCCGGACTCGTCGTTCGTCTCTGTTTACTCGGCGACCCGAGGGCATCCGCCCGCGCCGCGCGCCCCGCGTTGGCCCACGCGTTGGACACATCATTCAATCGTCCCCGTGGACGCTCCCCGTACGCGCTGTCCGGATCGTATCTCGCGATATTCTTTCGTGAATCATTTCCCGGCGTCTTTAACGCGACGTTCTCGAACCAATCCTCGTTCGCGTCGGCGTCGAGCGCCGTCTTCGGTCGATCACCAAACGTCGATTCGTTCCCCTCACCGACGCGTGATCGTCGACTCGTCGCCGTCGAGCGGTGCATCCCGCGACGCCCCGGCGCGGATGAATCGATGCGTTGAAAATTCCTCCGCGCGCGCGCGAAGGCTCGACCTCGGCGCGTCGGCGCGTCGGCGTGTGCGCGCGCGCGCGCGCGTGCGTCACAAAATAACACGCGGCTGACGGGTTTTGGTTCGACGTGCGCCAAGAAGACGGTTCATATCGTGAGCCCGAGGCGCGTCGCAGCGCGCCGCGTTCGCGCGCGCCCCGATCGGCGCGCGCGCGATGGAATCGGTGACGAAACTCTTGGCGCTCCTCGCCCTCGTTCGCGGGCGACGGGTCGCGCGCGCGGCGCGCGTGATGGAGCGAGGCGAGGCGTTGGCGCCGGTCACGCTGCGGGCGAGCGACACCGGGAGGGCGGACGGGACGATCGCGCGCGCGCTGGAGCGGTGTCGACGCGCGTGCGGGGACGAAAAGTTCGCGCCGACGTGCGCGATCGGGCTCGGGACGCTGAGCAGCGGGTGCTGGGCGTCGTGCGCGTTCGCGGAGGGCGCGTTCGGAGACCCGAGGACGCGCGCGTACGTCGTTCCGGGAGAGTGCGCGGAGGGCGGACACGACGGTGAAAGATGGCGAGCGCCGTCGTGGACGTGTGCGAACGCGTGCGTCGCGCTGTACGAACCGGTGTGCGGGGAGAACGGGATGACGTATTCGAATTCGTGCGTCGCCGAGTGCGCGGGAGTGCGAAACTTCATCGCCGGGACGTGTCACGATCGAGACGGTCGCACGTGATCGAGACGCGCGCGTTTAACGATCGTGAATTGTTCACCGTCGTGCGATCCATTTCTATAGCTCTTCTATGTCCGTCGCGCGTCGCGGCGTCGTCGCGTCACGAGAGGCGCCATATCGTAACCGTCCCGTCGTCCGAGGCGGAGACGAGCAAGGAGGAATCGTGCGGGGACCACTCGACGTGGTTGACGTCGTCGTCGTGCGCATTCTCCACTTTCACCACCTCGCGCCACGTTCCGTCGACCTCGCCGTATAATCGAATCGAATTATCACCTCCGCCCGCGGCGACGAGCCCGTTTCGTCCCCACGAGCAGCTCAGAACCGCGCGGTCGTGTCCACACTCGAAACTCGTCCCGAACTCCAGATCTGTGTTACAGAACCCCTTACCGTTCCACACGATGAGCTTTCCGTCGCCACCGCACGTCACACACCGCGTCCCGACTCGACCGTCGTCCAGCGCGCGCGGTTCGAAGCTCGCGCACCAAACCGTCGACGCGTGTCCCTCCCCTCCGTTCCCATCTTCCCCTCCCAGCGTCCGCACGCACGACCAATCGTCTCCATCCGCATCCTCTCGCCAAATCTTCACGCTCTCGTCGTAACTCGTCGTCACCAGCACGTCCTCCGTCGGATGCCACGTCACCCGCTTCACGTCGCCGCCGTGTCCGTGCATCGCCGCCGCGCACTCAAACTCCTCCTCCCCGTGCGCCTCCCACACCCACACCGTCCTATCTCGTCCACACGTCGCCAACAACGACCCCGACGGGGACCATCCACACGATTTCACCTCGCTCTCGTGCCCTTCGATCGCGCACGTCCGTCGCCATCGCTCGGTCTCGCCCGCGTCGCGCGTCCCGAAATCCTCCTCATCCCCCACCAAGTCCTCCCCACCCATCGCGCGCTCGCGTCGAAACACCGTGACGACGCCATCGAACGACGCCACCGCGAGCGCGCGTCCGCACGGGCGACACGGCGCAGAATCGCGCCGCGCGGTCGCGTCGCCCGCCCATCGTCTCCACCTCTCGCCACGCGTGCACGCCCACCGCGCGCGCGCGTCTGCACGTCCCGTCCGCGCCGCACGCGAAGACGACGTCCGGGCGGGACGGGTCGAACGTCGCGCACCACATCGCTCGACGCGCGCGCGTGGGGACGTCGACGCGCGTGAGCGCGCGCATGATGGGCGCGATGTGTCGTCTTCGGAACTCCACATGGGCGTCGACGGTGGTCGTATACGTGTGTGGCGAGAGTTAGGGTTTAGACGCACACCGATCGGTGGGGACGGAATTCAAATCGCGCGCACCCCGAACGCACATCGCGATGGCCGACGACGCGCGCGCGATGGACGAGCCGACGGAGAGCGGCGCGCGATGCGGAGTATTTTTACGCGCCTTTCACGCCGCGGTGGCGTCGTGCGCGGTGCCGCCGACCGCGCAGGTACGTCCCGGGCGATGGGTGGATGTGTGGCGCGACTCGTTCCCCTGGACCGCGCGACGGACGCGCGCGACGCGCGCGAGGGACGAGAGGGTCGGGCGACGGGCGGGACTGACGGGGCGAATTCGTGCGCGCGCGCGTAGGAGTTCGTTCGCGCGTTTCCGGGGCTTGCGCCGACGCATCACGAGGCGTTGTATGAATTACACCGAGATGTGTTGAGCGCGTGGGCGAAACGGTCGCGGGAGGAGTTTGAGACGATTTGTGAAGAGGAAGAGATCGCGCAGCGGTTGAACGCGATCGATGCGATGTGCGCGAGGGCTGGGATGGGAGACTTGGACGTGGCGTCGAACGCGGCGAGGGTGGCGTACGGCGGGAAGACGCCGGATGAGGTGGCGCGGAACACGCGCGCGGCGGCGAAAAAGATGGAGGCGGCGGCGCTGCGAGAGATCGCGGATGGGTTGGAGGCATCGGCGCGAGCGAAGATTGGAGAGTTGGAGACGAAGCGCGCGGCGGTGCGGTCGGCGGCGAACGGGTTGAAATCGAGCGAGTCTGGAGGGGAGAAAATTTTTGAGGCGTCGATGCAGTGGAGCGCTCGGGCTCCGCAGGCGCTTCGATCGTGATTGGACGATGCGCGTTGTACGATGGAGAACCACCACCGCGAGCTTTGTAAAATACCAGGTGTTTGGAATAATTTTACAGTAAATTACAAGCGAGAGAAGAAGGAAGCGGGCGAACGCGTCGGCGCCCATCCCTCGGGCGGCGGGACGCCGACTTTTGTGATGAGCACCGCGTCGACGCCGCGCTTGAAATCGTCGGCGAAGATGAACTGCGAGATCAACGCGTTGTCCGTCGCCAAGCTCCACTCCAAACTTTTCCCTCGCGCGCGACGCATGAGCTCGAGCGTGACCTCGAGGCTCGTCGGGCACGCCTTTGCGAGCGACTCGGCGGATTCGGCGAAGAATCGTCGTTCTACGTCGTCCGTTGCCGCGTCGCGCCTGCGAGCGATTTCGCTCGTGATCCCGCTCAACGATAGAGATTCATCTCCGAAAACCTCCTCGATCGCGCGCTTCCCACGCGCCGTCGTCGCGTACTCGTCGCACCCGTCTTCCGCCGCGTCCGCCGAGGTCTCGCCCGCCGCCGCGCACGCCGCTAAATCCTCCGCGCTCGCCCCAACCGTGAGCGCTCGAACCATCGGTTCGCACACCGCATCCCATGACTCGCACGTGACGTGATGCGTGGATAATCCTAAAGCCTTGCACGCTTTTCCACGAACACGCGCGCCCGTGAGCGCCAACCACGTCCCGGTCGCGCCGCCGCACAACCTTCTCAAAAACCACGACGCCCCCACGTCGGGCCAAAGCCCGATCGCGCACTCCGGCATCGCAAAAACCGTCTTCTCCGTCGACACCCGCACCGGGGCGTAACAGCTCAATCCCGCCCCACCGCCCATGACGCTTCCGTTCCACACGCACGCCGACGGCTTTGTCAGCGTCGCCAAGCGCGCGTTCAGCGCGAACTCTCTCGAGAAAAAGCCCACCGCCGCGTCCCGCTCGTTCTTCAGCACCATTTCGCGAACCGCGCGCACGTCCCCTCCGGCGCAGAACGTTCCAGAGTTCGCGCCGAGTATGACGTGCGCGCAGAGCGTCGCATTGTCCTCGCCCGCGGCGTACGCGCGGTGTAAACGCTCGATGACGTCCGACGTTAACGCGTTACGCGCTCTCGGACGGTCGAGGACGATGAACTGGGCGTTTCCACGCCGCTCGACGCGGAGCGGTGGATGGGGTGGGGTGGACATGGAGCGTCTGGGTGTGCGGGCATGGTAGTTGGGGGCTCGGCGGCGCGGGCGGAGGGCGACGGACGCGACGCGCGATGCGACGGACGTTCGAAGGCGTCGGCAGATGAGATGCGTGAGCTATGTTATTTTTATGATGCAACGGTGCGAACGCGCGCGGGTTCGCATGCTAGGTGGATCGTTTGGATGGGGTCGCGCTGGGGGACGGGCGAGAGGCGTTGAATCTGGAACCCCACGCGTCGGACGCCGAGGGGGAGTCCTCGGATGACCTCGGGATGCGAACCGGTGCGAGACCGGCGGGCGAGCCCGTGGGGTCGAGATGTTTCCACTGGCTCTCGTCGAACGCTGTCACGGGCACGCGAGCGGCGGGTCTCGACGGCGGCGCCGCCTCTTGGTCGCTCTCGAAATCAAACGCGCGGCTGCCCTCGGCGTCGGGCGCGTCTCCGACCAAATCTAACAGCGCGGGATGGGGCATCTCCAGCGCCTCCGGGGGGGCTTCGTACGGCTTCGCGGCCAATCGCAGCTTTTTCTTTCCCAGAGGTGGATATTTCGTCCCCACTGTGTGCAACTCTTGGACGCATTGAAACTCGGTTCGCCTTCTCTTTGGCAACCGGTTTGCGTCGCCGTCGTTCGTCCTCGCGCTCGCGCTCGCCGCGCGCGCGCTTTCCGGTGATTTGTTTCTCGATGCCTTGACCACGGTGTGAGGTGACTTCTTCTTCAGTGTCATCGTATCCTCGGATTTCGAAGAGGAGAAAAATTGTTCATCGACGCCGACGGGTGCTTGGATGCGATGCGACGGAATCTTCGTCGTCTCGTCGACGGGCCCGTCATCGCCGTCGTCCGTCTGGACGGCGATCCCGCGTTGGCGCGCAGACGATGGGCTCATCAAGTTGAAGCTCGTCGGGGAATCGTCGTTATCCGTTTGCGTCTGCACGTCCTTCATCGGCGTCGTCTGTTGAGCGGGAGCGTGCCCGACGGTGAAGAATGCCTCGTCTTCGACTGCCTCCTGTTCGACCACCTCCTTTACGATCGACTTTTCCACCTTGTCAACCTCATCATCATCGGTTTGTGCGGGCGATTGCTCGATGACGAGCGTTTCTTGGATGGAGTCTTCTTCTTCTTCTTCTTCTTCTTCTTCTTCTTCTTCTTCTTCTGGTTCTTCCTGGATATTGTCCTCGGGCGGCGCGGCGTCTTTCACCATGTGAATCGCGATGGGAAACTCGTCCAGTGAGATATGCACGGCGTCGTCCGATGTGCGCGCTTCCGCACATGATTTTGAGTGCGACAACTCTCGCCTTGTCAACACGTAGGGCCGCGCGCCGAGTCTTGACTTCTCCATGAGTCTTTGAACTTTTTCCGCGTTGGAGATTGCGGGCGCGGCCTCGTCGCCCAGGACAGCCGTGGTGACTTCCATCAATCTGTACACGCGCGACAGGTCCTGCTCGATTGAGCGTACCATTTGAGGTCTGGCAACAAGCGCTCGGAATTCCGGCATGACCTGTTTTTTCACGTACGGACGAACACAGGAGAGGCACGACTTATGCACGTCTTCGCTCGCGCGTCGCGCAAGCGGTTCAAACCACTGGATTATCGTCTGTTCCACCTCATCGACGATGAGATCGTACATCGTGCATGCGCTCAATGAGAAAGCATTGATGGTGTACTCCATGAACGCATCGACGCCCTCCGGCGTGGGCGTGATCGCGTCGTGTCCTTCGTCGTCATGATTCCAATGCGCGCACAAACAGCCCTCTGCTATTGCCTTGACCTGTTTATTCACCACGGCGTTGATTCTTTTCATACACTTCTGGTGTAACGCCTCCGTATCTCTAGCGATCGACCTGTTTGGCGTGTATGCCTTGCTCGCGCGCGCTGTGAGCTTGAAATTTCGCAGCGCCATCCTCATGAAGGAGCGCATCATCGCGCGAGATGGATCCTTCTTTTCACCAACGAGGTCCGTGAACCTTTCCTTCATCATCGCTTCGAAACAATCATCTTTATCATCCATCATTTGCGCCGCCCAATGACGAAGAACACTATTGCACAGACTGAGCAGCGACCCTATGGACGCTTCCGACGAATCGTTCTTCGTGGTCTTGAACGCTCCGTCAAATGTCGAGCCGATAATCTGCAGCATGGAACTCTTCGCGTCCATGATGAAGTCTTCCACGTCTTTCTGCGTCCTAATCTCCTGCCTTCGTAGCTCGAGCGATTTATCTCGGTTCAACGTCTTGGTCAACACCGTACGCACGAGCTTTGCGTCGCCGTATTTGATCGCGTGTGCCTCAAGCGACTTAATCGATTCGCTCAACACTGAGTAAACCGTCTCCCGACAGAATCGGTAAGCAGCCTCCCATACTTTTCTCCCCGCGTAAGACGCATCCGCACCCAGGCGGAATTCAATCTCATCGTGAAAGCCTCGCAATGAATCATCGCAACTACTTGGAAGTGCGACGAGCGGTTCCGCCATTTCGCAAAACGTTTTAAGAGCGTCGTGAACTTTCCTCGTCGATCGACGTAAGAGCTTCAAATCTCTCGCGTGCTTGAGTTCATCGAGTATGGAGTATAAATAAGCGTGCCCGGTGACTTCTCGCACGTTCTCAAGCGTCGGATCCAACGCTGCTGACCAAGATGAACGAATCTCAACAAATTTCCATGCGACGCTGATGACTGCGTTTGCGGTGGGCATGGTTTCAGCCACGCTTCCAGATTGATCCATCAACATCCCAAGCAACTCACTACGTCTTACGTTCGCGATCGTAACCGAATTTTGATTGATGATGCGATCGATGGCCCACTGGATGTCTTTATCAATCGGTGGCTGATGCTCTTCCAATTCTGAATTGGTGACTTCCTTACCGAGTTCGCTCTTCAGCAGCGCTCGTGCCTTACGAAACGTTGTCGAGCTATCGCCCCATATTCGATCTCCCTGCACGGCGTTGATTAGACGCCTCGTCGCCGGTCGAGTGATCAGTTGCTGCAAGAAACCACTCTTATGGAGCGCTCGAACGATATCGCCAGTGGTTTCCCGCGCGTCTCCAAGACAAATAACAGCCGAAGCATTGCGCAGAGCCGCAATAAGGTGTCTATCTCTCGCAGGATCGGTATCACCCGCCCCGGGTGCATCCACTAAAACTAGTCCACGATTCTCAGGTGGAACCGGAATATCTATTCTCACTTCTCGTAACAGTCCCCAGCACGATGCCGGAGTGTGCGTTTGCGTCCATATCGTGTGCTTCGTCGCCCTCAGCGCGCGATAGAAATTGTCCGCGACACTATAATCTACTTTTCCACTGGGACTATCAGGCTCATACTCGAACACCACGCGCTGCCCGAGCCTCGTGATGTACTGCGGCGGGATCGCGCACTTGTCCTCGTCGACATCCTCGAGCGACAACATGTTTGGATCCAATCCGACCATCGCGCACGCGACACGAAGCTCTGACGGTAATCCGTAACCATCGTCCGGATCGAACTCGCCCTCCCTTGCCTTCTTTTTGAAATCTAACAGGGTCACTTCGTTGGCACCAGTCGCTTCAATCTCTCTGCGCACGAAAGTCTCGGCGTAGTCGCCCAATTTGGATTGAGCCTCCGCAACCTGTCGCGCCACACGGACGGCATGTCGGAGCGCATGCACGTGTTTCTTCACCACATCCGGGGCAAAGTAAACCAATGTCACTCTAAAGGTGTCGGAAGTGCTGACAGAAGACGCCACGGAAGTGGTGTCCATCACGTCGCCTTCCGGAAGCAAGAATGGCATGCGAACGTCCTCGGATAGAAATTCCTCCGGGGGATCCGGCGATTCAGAGAACGGTATCGAGCGAGCAGGGAGCTCGTACGCGTCGATCATATTTTCGTAATTGCGGAGCTTCTCCTCCGCCGCCGCGCGTGCCGCTGCCTCCCTCGCTAGCTGCTCCTGATGCTCCTTGTACAGCAAGTATGTCGCCTTCGGCTGTCCCTTCTTAGACGCCTGCTTCTTCGCCCTATTCATCTTCTCCTTCTGAAGATTCTCCGCCTCCGAATCCTTGAACGCGTCACCCCTGATAGCTCGTCCCCGCAAGTGCCGCGGTACGTACATCGCCGCCGTCTTCTCACGATCCAACGCCGGCGGCGGCGCGAACATGCGCGCGTTCGCGTCCAGCGCCGCGCCGCTACCTCCATCCTCTATCGCCCGAAGTTTATCCGCCGCCTCCTCCTCCGCAGCTTGATCGTGCGCAACCATGCTCGTGATCGTCAACGCCGTCGCGTCGCTCCACGTTCGTCGTCTCTCGACGTCCTTCGCGTCGTCGTTCCCTCTCCGCGCCAGCTCCCTGAGCAACGCGTTCAACACGTGACTCTTCCCAACCCCCGACCGTCCGAGCGCCACCACCCGCAGCGGCGCTCGCGCGCCGCTCTCCAATCCATCGATTCCCTCTCGCACCGTCTCCATCAACGGCGCCAACGCCTCGGCCTCGAGCGCGTACCGTCCCGAAACCGTCGTCGCGCCGCTCGCCTCGAGCGTTCGCGTCGCCGCTCGACTCGTCTCCACCATCTCTCGTCCCTGCGCCCGGCCGTCGTCGTCGCGTCGTCAGTCACGTCACCCGCGCGTGGTCCCGTCGCCGTCGCGCCCGTCGTCGTCGCGAACGATCGCGCGCGTCGCTCGTCCACGCACCGCATCCAGGGACTTTCGCACCGCGTCCACGCGCGCGAGGTCCCCGATCGCGCTCTCCGCCCGCGACGCCGCGCGCGCGGGGTCATCCGCGCTCGCGCCCGGCGGCATGGCCCCGAGCGCGCGCGCGCGGAGGCGTCGCCGACGAATTCCGCGACGGCGTCGTGCGAATTCCGTCGATACCTTTCGAAAGGGACATCGAAAGGCGTACATCGACCGGCGTCGTCCCTTTCGAAAGGTATCGACGCCTTTCGATGTACGCCTATCGACGGCCCCGTCGATGCGTCGACGCGTCATCGCGGGAGTCGCCCGCGACGCGTCCGCGCGGGACGACGCGCGCGATGGCGGTGCTCGAGGAACTCTCGGACGGCGGCGCGGACGGCGGCGCGGACGGCGGCGCGGACGGCGGCGCGCGCGAGGCGGTGGAAACGATCGCGGATGCGGTGGCGCGGATGAAAGACATCGGGAACGCATCGTACGCGCGCGAGGCGTACGCGGAGGCGATGGCGGCGTACGGGGACGCGATCGAGGCGTGTGGACGTGCCGGTGACGGCGTGGAGGTGGAGGACGACGACGATGGACGTGGGCGGCGGTTGGCGATTCTGTACGGGAATCGCGCGGCGTGCGCGATGAAGCTGCGTCGGTTCGAGGCGTGCGTCGAGGACTGCGATCGGGCGATCGAGGCGGATTCGGGGTACGTCAAGGCGTGGTTTCGTCGCGCGCGCGCGCGGGAGGCGATGGATGATCTGGAGGGGGCGTTGGGGGATTACGAAAAAGCGGCGGCGCTGGGAGAGCCGAGCGCGGCGCGCGAGGCGCGTAGGACGCAGCCGCTCGCGGAGAAACGACGGGAAGAGATGAAGGAGGAGATGATCGGTAAGATGAAAGAGTTGGGGAACTCGTTGTTGGGGAACTTTGGGTTGAGTCTCGATAACTTCAAGGCGCAGAAGGATGAGAAGACGGGGAGTTACTCGATTCAATTCGTGCAAGGAGAGGGCGAGGCGCGCGCGCGCGCCGGCGCCTACGACGAGGACGAGGACGAGTGAGAGGTGAAATAACACATCCACGCACGCGTCGGCGCTACTGTACCTAAAATCTACAACGCGGTAATAATCAACCTTTCGCGTGGAAGGAGGCGTTTTCAAGCGCGAGCTGTCGACATCGCTTTTCAAACGCTTGAATCTGCGACCGCGCGACGTCGTCGAAGACGACGCTCACCGCGGCCGCGTGCATGGGATCCTTGACCTCAAAATCGATTTCGAAATCCACCACCACGCCGTCGCTCGGGGGTAACCCCGAGAGCGCGTCGTCGCCGTCCGCGTCGTCGTCGTCGAGCGGAGAAAACGTCCACGTCGTCGTCATCGAGCGAAACAAACCGCTCGACACGCTCGTCGCCGTCACTTTCTCCGGTCTCGCGCACGTCACCGCGCTCGTATACTTTTCATTGAACAGCTTGAACCCAATCTCCAAATCCGCCTCAAAGTACTCCTCCCCTCGCGCGAGCGCCTCCCGCTCCCGCTCGACCCCCCAGCGCGCCCGCGGCGTCCGTCTCGCCCCCGCGCAAAACGGCACGAAACTCGAATACTGATCCACGTCCGCCACGACCGCGCACAAGGACTCACGCGTGATCCCTTTCACGATCTTCCGCGCGCTGAACCGCCTGCGAAGCGTCGACGCGCCGTCGTCGTCGTCGTCCGCGCCCGTCGTCCGCCGCGTCGCCGTCGACGCCCCGCGCGCGCCCCGCGCGCACCCCCCTCGGACGACCGCGCGCTCGCCGTCGACGCGCGCGCGCGTCCACGCCGTCGTCTCGCACGAGATCGCGCGCGTCTCACGCGCGAGCGCTCGGGCGACCCGTCGCATCGCGGTCGCGCGTCGATGACGCCTCGATGATGAATGCGACGCCGCGACCGCGCGCGAGCGTCCCGCGCGGCGCGCTCGGGCGACCCGGCGTCGCCCGCGCGTCGCTCGGGCCCGTCCCGCGCGCGCGCGCGGCGTCGCGTCGCGCCCGCGACGTCGGGGGGCGTCGGCGTCGTCGCGCGCGGGGGTCTGGGCGCTACCGACGAGTGATGACCCCTGAAACACCCCCTCGCGACACGGAGCGTCTCCCTCGAGGAGTGATGACCCCTGAAACACCCCCTCGCGACACGGAGACGCCCCACCAACGAGTGATGACCCCTGAAACACCCCCTCGCGACACGGAGACGCCCCACCGACGAGTGATGACCGCGAACCCACCCCCCCCGATCGAGATCTCGACCGAGATCTCCCACGGGATCGACGTCCCGTATTGAAGCACCCCACGTCCGATGTGGTGACCCCGACGCGCCCTCGAGCGCGACGGGCGGCGACGATCGACGCACATCGGCGAATCCGTCGTGCAATGCGTCGCGACGCACGCGCCCGCGCGCCCGATCGGCGAATCGCCCGCACACGCCCGCTCGCGATGCTCGCTCGCGCCACCGCCACCGTCGTCCCCGCGCGCGCGCGCGCGACGCGCACAGAGACCCGCGGCGCGCGACACGTCACGCGCGCGGTCGATCCGTCGTCCCGTCGGGAGTTCGTGCGCCTGATCGCGGTGCGTATCGCGCGCGTGCATGTCCACGCGCGCGATGGCGCGACGGGCGATCGCGCGACGATGAAACGCCCGTCGACGCGCGCGCGACGATTTGATCGCGCGCGCGAGGGGTGAGAACGATGGGATACTTTTGTCACCGTCGATGGCGTCGTGGATGGGCGATGGAGACGGAGGCGTGGGATGGATAGGCGCGCGATCGCGATGCGATCGCGCGATGGAGACGCGCGACTGACGCGGGGGCGATCTCGGACGTGCGCGCAGGGTACCGCGAGTGTGTTGGCGAGCAAACCCGCGTTTGCCGCGTACGGTGATTCCGCGAACGTTTGGGGCGGTGTCACGAACCCGACCGGTACGTCGCGCGCGGTGGAGGACGGGGGGGTGACCGAGGGCGATGGGTTTCGCGAAGATACGCTCGCGGATGGGATTGGGCGAGGTGGTTGGGCCCCGGGGCGTCGCTCTCTCTCGCGCGCTCGATCGATGGATGACTGACCGGTGCTCGTGTTCGCGAAAACGTAGGTTTCGTCCCGTACGCGGGCGATGGATACGCGTTCTTGCTCCCGGCGAAGTACAACCCGTCCAAGGAGCGCCCGTTCCCGAACCAAGACGCGTACTGGGAGGATAACTTTGACGCGGTGACGAACATCTCCGTCATCGTCGAAAAGGCCTCGAAGAGCAAGATCTCGGACTACGGCAAGCCGGAGGCGTTCTTGGAACAAGTCTCGTACTTGCTCGGTAAGCAGTCGTACACCGGCGAAACGCGATCCGAAGGTGGGTTCGCGGCGAACAAGGTTTCCACCGCCGCCGTGCTCGAAGTCGGTTCCCGCGAGAACAAGGGCAAGCAATACTACGAGTATGAAATCCTCACGCGCACCGCGGATGGCGACGAAGGCGGACGCCACCAATTGATCTCCGCCACCGTGAGCGACGGCAACTTGTACATCATGAAGCTTCAATCCGGTGACAAGCGTTGGTTCAAGGGTCAAGAGCGCGACTTGCGCACGGCGCGCGAATCCTTCACCGTCGCGTAAACGGCGACGCGCGTCGAGCGAGAGTGTCAATATCACGTCTCTCGTCCGACCACGGACATCAAGCACGGATACATTGTTGGACTTTCAAGGTCGTCCGCACCGCGCACAGCGTCCGCGCTCGGTCTAGGAAAATATAGCAGAGCTCTGCTCTTTTAACGAAGAGTCTCCATGGACTCGTCGCGCTCGCCTTCGACGCACACCTCGACGCGTCACGAACGTTCACTTTGGCTCGCACACGGATGTCGTCCGCGTAACCATGCTCGCCTCCACCGCCCGCATCGCCCGCACCGTCACCGTCGCGCGCGTCGGGTGCGTTCCGCTCGCGTCCACGGCGCGCGCCGCCTCCACCGCCCTGTTGGATTCCATCGTCGAGCGCGTCGAGCGTTCGCTCCCGACGCGCGCCGGTGCGTCCGCGACGTCACCGAGCGTCGTCGTCGGATTATCCGGGGGCGTGGACAGCGCGATCGCGGCGTGGGCGCTGAAGAGATGCGGCGCGGACGTGACGGCGGCGACCACGAAGAACTGGGACGGCTTGAACGAGGACGCGAACGAAGACTGCGGCTATCGGGACGATTTGAGGAGCGCGACGGAGATCGCGAGAAAGATTGGAATACCGTTGACGGAGATTGATTTCACGAGGGAGTATTGGAACGACGTGTTCGAGCCGTACGTGAAGGCGTTCGCGAGCGGCGCGACGCCGAATCCGGATTTAGAGTGTAACCGGAGCGTCAAGTTCGGCGCGCTCTTAAGACACGTCACCGACGTCATGGGGGGGGATTTATTAGCCACCGGGCACTACGCTCGGATAGATCGCGGAGTTGGTGAGCGGGTGAGGTTGTTACGAGGGGTGGACGAGACGAAGGATCAGTCGTATTTCTTGGCGTCCGTCTCTGGGGACGCCTTGAGCAAGGCGTGTTTTCCGCTCGGCGAAATGTTGAAGAGTGAGACTCGAGAGGCCGCACGGGCGCTAGGCTTACCCTGCGCCGAGCGTCGATCGAGCGCGGGAATATGTTTCATCGGTCGAAGGCCGTTCGGTGACTTCATCGGGGAGTACATCGTCCCGAGAGAGGGCGCGTTTGTGGACGCCGAGACGTCGCGTCCCGTTCCGGGCGCGCCGCCGCACAAGGGGTTGGCGTCGTACACGGTCGGTCAACGCGCGAAAATCGGCGGCGCCGCGAAACCCTGGTTCGTTATCGGTAAGAATGTCGAGGAGAACGTCGTGTACGTCGCGAACGGTGCCGATCACGACGCTTTGTTTTCCACGACAGCCGAGCTCGCGGATGAGTTTTGGATCTCTGGCGAGCGTCCGGAGATGAATCGTCTCCTCGCCAAGGCGCGCTACGCCTCACCGCTCACGCCCGTGACGATCGCAAGCGCTTCGTCAGAGTCGTTCACGCCGTCAAAGTTCTCCTCGTCCTACGTCTCCGCGTCGTCTCTCTCCGAGTCGCTCCGCGCGACGTTTGACGCGCCCGAGCGCGCCGTCACGCCCGGGCAGGCGCTCGTCCTCTACGACGGCGACGTCTGCCTCGGCGGCGCCGTCATTCATCGCGTCGGCGCCACCAAATTCGAAAAGTTGTATATATAAAATGCATACTCGTCAGCCCGTCGTCGCCACGTTCGTCTGCATCGTCCGAACCGTCCCGTCGCCTCCGCACACGCCGACTCGCAGACGCGCGCATGGCAGCCGTCCTCGACCACGTCTTTGAGTTCGTCGGAAGAAACCTCGTTTCGAGCCGGAGTAAGACGAGATTTTTCCATGAGGGTTGGGGCGATCTCGCCCACGCCAAGGCGGTCGCGTTACGATCGCTCGAGTACTTCGATTCGGTGGCTCTGAGCTCTGGTCAACTCGAGCGCGGTGACGTTCAAGACGCATCACGGACGCGCTCGGGGATAGAAATCGACTGGGGCCGCGACGTCGACGCGGACGATGGATACGGCGTCGACGTCATTCGACAAGACGCGTCGTTCGAGTCGCCGTTCGCGGATATGTTGCCCGCGGAGTCCCGTCGCGTGCTTTTCGCGCGCCTGCGACCGGGACGCGGCGGAGACGCGAGGAAAGATGGAGCGCGACGAGTGGCCATCTTGTTGCCGTGCACGGGAGACATCGATGAGTGGTATCGACGGTCGATCGCTCGGGAGTTGTTGGAGAGCGGGGTGGAGTGCGTGATTCCGACCATTGCGTATTACGGCGCGCGGGCGCCGCGCGGGCAGTGGAGACACGTCATACGAACCGTGAGCGAGGCGAAGATTCAGCTGAGCGTGACCCCGGTAGAGATGATGGAGATCGCGAGAGCAGTAATGGAAGAATCGGGACCCGGGACGGAGCTGTGCCTGGCTGGGGTGTCGCTGGGAGGGACGATGAGCGCGCTCACGGCGTGCGCGCTCGCGCGAAACGCCGTCGACGCGGATTCTACATCGGTGTGCTGCATCGCCGCCGCGAACGATTGCACGCCGTACACAGACGGGAGTATAGAAACTCGCTTGGCGTGGGACGTGTTGTGCGAGCAGCTGGCGACGAAGTCAGACGAGGCGGCGGCGGTCGAGGCGGCGGCGTGTTGGGGAGGACATGAAAAAGGCGCGACGAAAGAGCAAGCTCGGGAGGCGTTTCTCGAGGCCATGTCGGAGCTAAACATGCAAGCGCTCGTAGTTGAAAAATCAGTGCGAAGCGCGGTGTTCATCACGGCGAAGAACGACCGTTTCGTCGGTAACACCACCGAGGCTATCGCGGAGACGTTGCAGACGATGGCCACCGACTCGAACGGGTACTGGCGCGAAGACTTCGACGGCGGACATCTTCAGTTCATCTTCGGAAGAAAGTCTGTCATTGCACCATCGATAAAACGAGCGTTCGAGCTCAATAGAAAGTAGCACCGATGACACATTTGTTGTATTTCTATCAAAATGAATGATGAATGAAAAAAAATTGAAAGAATAACGATCTACTGTTTGCCCCGACCGACAAAGACAATCGCGCCGACGGCGACGCGTCTGACCCACTTCCACTTACTCACGCGCACACGTTGACGATCACCAGTGGTGTCGGATCCAAACGAGTCGTCTTCGGTGCTTCTTTCGCCGCGCGACGCCGTCGTCGGATCTGCGAGTTCGGAGAGGAGTTTCAACACCTTTGAAATCTTCCTTCTGATTCTTTGACGCTTTCCCAAGCCGCCTCGACCACTGAAACGATACTCACGACTCGCATTCGTCGGGGCGAAGTGCAAATCCGTCGCCTCGGCGCGCGCACCCAGATCGGGAGATGCCGTTCGAGAGACGTCGCCTTCGTCGTCGCTGTGCGGTACGCTAGTGCGACCAGTCCTGAACGAGCTCGTGCTCGTCACGTGGTGCGTGTCCGGCGGCGCCGGGATGGCGTCATAATCTTTCATGCGATCGTTCGCGGCGACTCTTCGCCTGAGCTCGCGATCGAACGTCGCCATGTACGAGTCGAGGTTCTTCGCCGCGGCCATGTGGGCCAGTCTCGGCGGCACGCCCGGGTCCTCGTAGTAAATCGACACGTACTGACTCCCGTTCACCTCTGCGTTCTTACCGACCATGATCGCGCTATACATTGACCGCACATCCACCGCGCGCGATCGCATCGCGCTCTGAAGCTTATTCTTCGCCGCGACTGCGGAGCGCGAGGACAAAGCGTCTCGGCAGATGCACGTCGCCATGTCGTTCGCCGCGTCACGCCACATGCGCCGAGCGACGAGGTAATCCCGCGGAGCCATGAGTCGCGGATACTGTAAACGCCAGTACACGACGTCCTGCGCGGTGAACGGTTTGTTCAAGGAGTTTGGATCCTCTCGCTCGATGCACGTCGGATGCAACGTCGTCGCGTCCCACTCTTGGCGCCCCAACAAATCTACCTGGGCGTTGAACAAAATCTCCACCGGCACCCCTCGAGCCAACACCTCCGTTCTATATTTCGCGAGACCTCTCTTCATCATGCGCTCATCTTCGGGTGAGATTCCGCGAAGCATTCTGTACGTGCAGCATCCGACGCTTCCGCTCGCGATGACGTCCCACTCGCCCTCGTCGTTCGCGATCGCCGACGCAAAGTCCTCGTAATCCTTATTCGAAACCGCGTCTCGCACATCACTCGTCACCCCCGTCGCCTCTTCGACGATCGACTCGTCCCACCCTCTGTCCACGGCGCGATGCGCCACCCCGACGAAGACGGCTTTGAAGGTCCACACCGGCGCGAACACCGCCGAGCGCGCGCCCCATCGTACAACGCTAAAAAAGAGCTTGGCGAAGAGCAGCACCATCCGATCCGGCGGCGGCGTGTTCTCATCCATCCTCAGACCGATGAAGAGCGTCTTCCACGCGAGCGAGACGATCCACATCGCGAGCACGCCGAGCGACGCGTCCCTCGAAGACATCATCCCTCCCGCCGCGCGCGCCGCCATGATCACCGTCGTCACCGCCGCCGCGCTCTCACACCAACTCAACCGCACCACGTCCACGTCATCTCTTCGCGATCTCGTTCCCGTCTTCCCATCGTTCGATCGTCGTCGTCGTCGCCGCGACGTCCCGCCGCCGCCTCCGTCCCCGATACCCTCCGCGCTATCCTCCGTCCGCCCCATCACCGACCTCGACCGACGCCGTGGACCGCGCGAGGCGTCGAACGCACCGCCCGCGCGCACGTCCCGTCCGAGCTCCGTCGACGCGTCGAGGCGATCGACGCCGATGGTCGGTCGATCCGAGACGCCCGTCCCGAAGCTCGCGCGCTGACTGGACCGCGTCGCGCCCCGCGCGCGGGCGGTCGCGCCGTCGTCCCCGCGCTTCGCGCGCGCGCGCGTCGCTCGCGTCGAGTGCGGTGATGCGGTCGCGGTGGCGCGCGCGCGGTCGACCGCGGACGCGGTGACGGGTGAATCGACGCGCGTCGAGGAGTGGCGCCCGGAGCGGTTTTCGCGGCTGGCGGCGCGCGGCGACGACGGGGCGGGCGGCGCGCGCGACGCGTCGAACGCCCGGTGCTCGGGCTCGGGAAGTTTCACGAATGGTTCGTGCGGATTAATACGCGTCAAAGTTTCGAATGTTCTTCCCCGTTCGACGCGCGTTCTTCTTCTCGCTCGCCTGTTTCTTACTCTCGAGGCGCTTCTTGTTCCCTCTGGCGACGTTCCGCTCGAGCGTTTTCTTCTTCTTCTGGTTCGATGTCGCCCCCGGAACTTTCGCCGCGCGGTTTATGTAACTCTGTAGCTTCTCCAACGCGTCGTTCACGTTTTGACTCTGCGTTCGGTGTCGCGTGCTCGTCACCACGAGCTCGCCGTCGCCGTTGACGCGGTTCCGCTCCGCGACGACGAGTCTATCGGCGCACCACTGCGGTAACCACCCCGCGGCGACCGCGCCCGCGACGTTCAATCGCATATCACACTTCGTGTTCACCTTGTTCACGTTTTGTCCCCCCGCGCCGCCCGATCGCGCGAACGAAATCGTCACGTCGTCCCGCGTCACGGGTCTCGGCGGCGTCAGGTCCGCCCCCTTCGGCGGCGCCGGTAAATCGTCTCGCACCCTCGGCCCGCCCACCTTTCGCGACAGCGCGCTCGCTTCGACCCCATCCTCGTCGTACGCGTCATCATCCGCGTCGTCATCCGCGTCGTCGTCGTACGCGTCGTCGAACGCGTCGTCGTCGTCGTCGTCGTCGCCCCACGGGTCCTCGTCCTCGTCCTCGTCGTAGAGCTCGTCTTCCCACCCCCGTCCCGCGCGTCGACCCACGCGCGTGCCTCGCGATGTCGTCGTCATCATCCGCGTCGTCGTCGTCGTCGTCGTCGTCGTCGTCGTCGTCGTCGTCGCCATCATCGTCGTCTCGCTCGACGTCCATCGCCATCGCGTCTTTCCATCCGCATCCCGCGCGCGCGCGTCCACGACGCCGCGTCCGCGTCGCGCACACGTTCCGCGCGTCCGTCCTCGCGCCGCGCGCGCCGCGCGGACGATCGCGCGCGCGAGCATGTCGACGCGTCGCGCGATGGCGACCATCATCGCCATCGGCCGTCATTCCATCGGCATTCCTCCTCGTCCACCCCCGCGCGCGCGCCCGAACGCCGCGCGCGTCTTCGCGAGACATTGCTCCGTCGTCCGCGCCCCCCCGCGCGCGCGCGCGGGCCCGGACGGGACGACGCGCGGGCGATGGGTCACGGAATCCATCATCGCATCGTCGTCCGCGCGTACGCGCGCGCGTCCGCGTCCGACGGCGCCGCGCGCGCGTCCATGGGGGCGTTGACGTTCGAGACGGAGATCTTACCCGCGTTGAAGTGGTTTTACGCCGAGCGTGGACACACGTGCGTGCCGCGCGCGTACGCGGTTCCGGCGAACGCGCCGAGGGACATCGCGGGGGTGAAATTGGGCGCGCGCGTCGACCGCATGCGCGCGCGCGGGGATTTCTTACGCGGGCCCGAGGGTGTGGCGCGCATGCGGGCGCTGGACGACGTCGGCGCGGCGACGGGGGAGCGGTTTCCGTGGGACGCGGAGGATTTTACATTTTATAAACAAATCGTCCCGTGTTTGCGGCATCACGTGCGAACGCGCGGACACGCCAACGTGGGGATCGATTACGAGACGCCGAGCGTGCGCGACGACGACGACGTCGATGCGCGGGCGCTGAAGCGGTATAATTTGGGATTTCCGTTGGGGAAGCGCGTGAACGACATTCGCGCCAAGGGGACGTTCGTCGAGGGACGACCCGATCGCTTCGAGCGGTTGTCGAGGATGGAATTCGTGTGGGACGACGCGGAGTATCAGTGGGACGTGCGGCTGCGAATGGCGCTGGAGATGTTTCGTCGCGTGTACGGACATCTCAACGTGCCGGCGAATTTCGTCGTGCCGGAGGACGCCATGCGATGTCCCGTCGGATACTTTGATCCGGTGAAAACCCCGAGCGTGATCGCGGGATTTCCCTTGGGAAATCACGTGGCGCAAATCAGGAGCACGCGTTTACGGAACAGATCCGGGGGTGAGGGATTGGCTCGGAGCAAAATTCGTCAGCTCGACCGATTGGGCTTCGTCTGGGACGTCGCCGCGTGGGAGTTTCATCGCCGCTTACTCCCGAGCGTCCGTCACGTCATCGCCGTGCGGAACGAACTGAGCGCCGACGTGAACTATCGCGTCGACGCGGACGTGGTCATCGACGCCCGGGCGCCGCTGGCGATTTTTGATTATCCCGTCACGCGCGCGCTCGAGCGCCTCTTGGGCGACGCCGATCGACGCTGGCCCGTCGATCGACGCGACGGTCTCCGCGCGCTCACCCGCGCCTTTATCGACGGCCAACGTGACTTCCGGAAACGCCGAGGCGCGGACGCGCGCTCGAGCGCGCCTCGCGCGTTTCACGACGCGCGCGGATTTTTCACCCGCGCCCGCGACGCGCTCGCCGCCAAAGTCACCAATGCGCGCGCGTCACCACCACCCGCGCCCGAAACGGCGCTTACCGACCCCCCGTTGTAATCCACCCCGCGTCTCGCGCCCCACGGCGCCGTGGCGCCGATGTGTGCCCGTCGCCGCGTCGCCGCGTCGCCGCGCCGAATCATCCGCACTTCGCGTCCCGCGTCGTCATGGACCACGACCGTTCCCCGCCGTCGTGGTTCCTCGCCCTCGCCCTCACGCACGTCCCCATGGTCGTCTTCACCGCCCTCGCGGTCCTCACCGCGGTCGAGCGCGCGCTCGGGAGCGTGAAGACGCGGACGCGAGAATGCGCACCACGCGAATGTCCATCCGTGTGCGTGCAGCTCCCGCTGTTACGCGAGCGCGCGCACGGGGCGCGGGCGATCGATCGCGCGTGCGCGCTGGATTGGCCCAGAGACGCGTTGGAGGTCCAGGTCCTCGACGGTGGGGACGACGCGGACGTCGCGGCGAGCGAACGCGCGTGCGCGGCGTGGCGGGCGCGCGGAACGGTGTGTCACGTCGTCCGCGCGTCGTCCGCGCTCGCGAGACGCGGTCGATCGACCAAGGCGCGGGCGTTGGAACACGCGCGGGCGCGAACGGCGGCGGCGTTCATCGCGGTCGTGGACGCGGACGCGGATGTTGGCGCGGATTATTTGCGAAGGATGATTCCGTACTTTTACGACGACGCTGGCTCGCGGCGAGAGGACGTGGGCGTGGTGCACCCGGCGATGGCGTTCGTGAACGCGTCGGAAAACTTTGTGACGATGCATCAGGGGTTTAAGAGCGAGGCGGACGCGGTGGCGGGAAATCGGGCGTACGCGCGGGCGTTCGGGTGCGCGCTGCGGGCGAGCGGCGCCGCGGTGTGGAGCGCCGCCGCTTTGCGCGCGGTGGGTGGATGGGACGAGCGCATGCTCGCGCTGGAGGGGGTGGATATGTCTATTCGAACGCGCATGGCGGGATACAGTGGGAAGGTTGCGGCGAACGTGACGGTGGAGACGGAGCTGCCGTCGACGCTGAGCGCGTACAGAAATCAACAGCTCCGATGGATGGGCGCGTGGGCGTACCTGGCGAAACGACACGTGTTGAACGTGTTATTTCATCCGTTCTCCGTGGTGGGTGGCGCCGGGACGGTATGGGGGAAATTCGGCGGTCGCCTCGCGCGCGTCTGGTTCGCGCTCGCCATTCTTCGCCCGGCGCAGTGGTTGCTCCTCGCGGCGTGGGTTCTCGTCTTACCCGAGCTCATCGTGCGCGGGGTGTGGCTCGGAAACGACGAGTACGTCATTCGCGGCGCCGCGTGGCTGTACCTCGTTCCGCTGTTGATCATCGTCAAGGCGGATTCGTTCGCGGTGTCGGACGTCGAGGCCAAGTTTCAGTCGCCGCCGAGGAGCACGGGCGAGGCGGTGAAGACGGCGAGGTCGACGATTCGTAAACTGAGTTGGATCGCGCCCCATTTGTGCGTCTCCGTGGGCATGATCGCCGTGTACTGCACCGGGTACGTGCGAGGCGTTTTCGGTAAACCGTTTCCGTCGCGCGACGCGTCGGTGAACCAAATGCGAACGCTGAAACTCGGCGATCGCGGCGTCGCGATCGATGCGGAGGATGACGACGAGGAAGAGACCTCGTGCACGACGAGCGACGTTTGGCAGCTCGTTCTCGAGCTGGTTTTCATCCTCGCCGTGTGTCGCGCCTCGATTGAGCTCGCGAGGTTCCGAGCCGTCGGCGCGGCGGAGGCTGGGTCGCTCTCCTTCGTGTCCATGATCGGTTTCGCCATCGCCGCGTCGTGCGTGTACGTCGCCGCCGGGGGATGGGACGATAAGTGCGGACCGAGAACGAGCGAGCGTTACAGACGACGCGTGCGCGCGGCGAACGACGAAGAACGCGCGGGATTGCTGTCGTCCGATCCCGTGCAATCGCGCGCCGCGTCGCTCTCGACGCGCGCGCGCGCGTCGACGTCCGCGACGTTCACCGCCGATGCGGTGGCGTACGAGAACATCGAAACCGGGATCGGATCCCGGACGGACTTTGTCGTCGGCGACGCGGAGGAGGACGACTTTGCGTCGAGAATCGACGCGCCGCCGCCGGCGACGTCCAGAGAAGTTCAAAAGGCTATTAAAAAGTACAAGCAGATGCGAGATCACGAGTTTGATCTCGAAAACTACAGCGAATACGCGCAGAGCGACGTGACGAGCGTGCGATCGGAGGCGTACGCGCCGTCGCACGTAAACTTTGAGTCGCACGTCTCGTCGGCGCGCGAAGACTTTTCCGATTTCGGAAGCGTCGCCGACGGCGAAGACGAACGCTCGGTCGATTTGGACGGTCGCGACCGCGCGGCGTTGGCGCACGCCCTTCAAGTCGAACGCGACGCGCAGCTGCGCGCGAAATCGCTCAGACTGGCCAATCTACGCGTCGCCGTCGCGTCGCCGTCGGCGCCGTCGGCGTCCGCGCGCCCTCCGCCCTCGCCGCGCTCGCGCGAGACCTCGGCGGAGAACTCACCGATGGCGTCCACGACGCGCGCATCGACGACGACGAACACCGCGGACGCCATCGTGGACCCATCGGAGTGGATCGACGCCCCGATTCCGGCGCGCGCGGCGCCGACGCCCGCCAGCGCGCGCGACGCGTCATCGTAATCACATCCAAGCCCACCGCGCGATCGTCCCCTACGTCGCGTTCGACGTCGTCTCCGTCGTCGTCGTCGTCGTCGTCGTCGTCGTCGTCTCCGTCGTCGCCGCCGCCGCCGCGCGCGCGCGCGACGTGCGTTCAAAGTGCATCGCTCGTAACATGGCGTTCACGCGCGCGTACCCGTGTCCGTCGTCCGCCGTCGACGCATCGGCGGCGCGCAGGCGTTTCACCGCGCGCTCGAGCGCGTCCACGTCCTCGGCGCGCGCGCGCGCCATGCGCGCGACGACGCGAAGTGACGAATGAATGAAAGCATGAATGCATGAACGCATCGTCACATCATCATCACATCGCGTCTCATGCCGCGCGCACCGCCGACGCCGACGCCGCGACGGCCCACAAAGACGGCGACGACGCCCACGCACAAGTCCACCACGCGCGAGCGCGGCGTGGCGACGTTCGACGACGCGACGCGGAAGGATTGGGTGAATGGATTCCGAAAACGAAAAACACAACGACGGAAACGCGCGGCGCACGACGCGGAGACGCGCGCGCGACGAGAGCGCGTGCGCGAGCGAGCGACGCGTCGAGCGGCGGAGCGCGCGGCGCTGGGCATCGCGGAGGACGAGGGCGAGGACGGGGCGACGGCGACGCGCGACGGCGACGCGGCGGAGGAGACGACGTACGCGAGCGGCGCCTCCGTCGTCGTCGCCCACGGGCTCGCGGACGCGGAGGCGGAGGACACGTAGACGCGACGGGGGCGCGCGGGCGCGGAGAAGGGGTGGCGAGGACGCGGACGCGAAGAATTCGCGCGGCACATCGCGACGCGCGGACGATCGCATGCGCGGACGGTCGCGGGCGCTCGCGCGCGCTGTGGCGCTCGCGCTCGGTGTAGGTCCGTCGTCGTCGACGCGATGCGATCGCGCGCGCGGCGTCGACGAATGGAACGCGTGGGATGGAAAGGACGCGAATGAATGGGCGGAGCGTTTGAATCGCGATCGCTGACGAACGCGTCGACCGCTCGTAGGTTTATGCGCGATCGAGCTCGCGCACGCGCGCGCGGTGGTGAACGCGTCGGGGGTGTTCGCCACGCGCGCGCTGGCGTGCCCGGAGGAACCGCGATGTGAGCGGTGCGCGGCGCCGTTGCACGCGGCGCCGTTCGCGGCGCCGGCGAATCTCACCGCGCTTCGCGTCGTGTCGTGTCGATACCGCGCGGACGCGTGTGAGATGTTGCGCGCGGAGGTGAAGACGTGCGCGCGACGGGCGCGAGCGCTGTGCGGGGAGCGAGACGCGCGCGTGGAGGCGAAAAGTCGATGCCGCCGCGAGGTGAATCGCGCGTGGCGGACGCGGTGCAAGGAGACGCGAACGGCGCTGGTGATGACCACGGAGCGCACGGTGAAACGGTTCGCGAGCGCGCTGGAGCGCCTGCGAGGGGCGAAACGAAGACGCGCGGAGGGGGGCGCGGGGGAGGACGCGACAGCGCTCGAGGTGGAACTCTCGAGGCTGAAGACGTCCGTCGCGGACGCGTACGAGAGCGTGAAGAATAACGACGGTGGGATCGCGATCGGTGGGATGTCGCGCAGAATGCGCGCGTTCACGGAAGGGCCCACGAGCGTGGACTCGTTGGCGGACGTGAGCGCGGCGATCGCCGCCATGGAAGCCGTCGCGGGGGAACTCGAAACGCTCAGCTCCGAGGCGAGAAGCGTGTGCTCGCGCGACGCGAGCATGGACACCGAGGAGGCGAAGATCACGTGCGAGACGATTGAGGAAAAGATGCAACTGTCGGAGAAGCGAGTGAATCGCTGCGCCGCGCGACTGAGCGATTTCATGGTGTCGACGGCGAAAATCGACGCCCTCGTCGCCGAACAAAAGCGTCGCTTCGCGCTGTTGGACTCCCTCGACGCGTTCGCCGAGTCGTTCACGGGCGCTTGGAACGCGGCGGCGATCGACGTCGACGTCGACGGCTCGGGCGTGCGAGAAACCTCCGCCGGGTTCAACCTCACCGAGCACGTCGCCTCGGGCGTCGTCGACGTCCTCCTCAACGAGTACGCCGCCTCGAGCGCGCGTCGCTCGCTCGCCACCGCCGAGGTTCCCGAAGACGCGCTCTGCGCCCAACTCATCCCGCGTTTACAGCTCTCACTCCTGGGCGCCGGCTTGAACGCCGCCGACCTCGTGTGTCCGCCGCCGCACGGCACCTTTATCGCCGGCCGCGAGCTCCCGGACTGGTCCGCCTACTTTTTATTCCTCTTCGGCGTCGCTCTCGGCGTCGCCATCGCGGTGAGCACCAATCACGCGAGCGAAGGCGTGGCGTTCATCCGCCGTCACGCCTCGGTCGTCGTCGCCGTTCTCGTCGTCGTGCTCGCCGGGAGGTTCTTCGATTGAGCGAATGAATGAATGCAATGCACGCGCGCGTCGTACGACACCCGCGTCGCCCCCACGCATCGGCCCCACACCTCGACGCCGTCGCCCGAAAGCTCGCCCGTGGCACCACCGCGCGTGATGTTCGCGCGCGTCGTCCGCGTCTCCATCGCCCGTCGCACCGCGCGGTCGCGCCGCGGCGTCGCCCGAGGCGCGACCGCGCGCGCCGAGGACCCCGACGCCCGTCCCCTCGACCGACGCCCGTCGACGCTCCATCGCTTCTACGTCGACGAAGAGCTCCGTGCGAACACCACGACGCGTCTGTCGAGGGAAGAGACGCGACACGCCGCCAAGGCGCTGCGTCTGCGCCCGGGCGTCGCCGTGGAGGTGTGCGACGGCGTCGGTCGCCTCGCGCGGGCGACGCTGGGCGACGTCCTCGACGGCCGCTTCGTCGTCGACGTCGAGGACGTGCGCGTGGACGTCGACGGTCGCTCGAGTGGGATCGATTGGGACGTCGTGTGCGCGTTCGCGGGTTTGAAGGGCGGACGCGGGGATTGGTTGGTGGAAAAGTGCGCGGAACTCGGCGCGCGACGATTGGTCCCGTTGCTCGCGTCGAGGTCGGAGCGACGATCGACGCGAGGTGAGGATGGGGAGGGTGATGCACGACGTGGACGCGCGGGACGGTGGGACCGCGTCGCGCGAGCGGCGAGTAAACAAAGTCTCCGGGCGCGGGAACTGGCGGTGGGCGAGACGACGGACGTGGAGGCGCTGTGTCGAGAGATGGCGCGCGAACGAGAGGTCGGGACGCGAGTGACGCTGTTGGCGTTGCAGGGAGGGGCGCCGGTGGCGGACGTCGCGCGGGAGGTGGGACCGCGGGCGATGCGCGCGGGACGGGTCGTCGTGGGACCGGAGGGCGATTTCACCGACGAGGAGGTGCGCGCGATGATTCGAGCGGGAGCGCGACCGATCGGACTCGGAACGCTTCGTCTTCGCGTGGAGACCGCGGCGGTGAGCGCGCTCGCGGCGGTGAGCGCGCTGGTGGACGCGACGGAGGCGGCGGAGGCGGCGGCGGACGGGACGAAGCGCGAGTCGTAGAGAGTCGTCGTCGACGCGTTTGTTTTACAACCAGAGGTACCGTCAATCGCACTTGACCGCTTTGTAGATGTGGCGCACGAAGAGTAGACTCGCCTTGTGCCCGACGGTGCCGAGGAGAAGGAACCAGCCGTAGCAGATGATGCCCATGTACCCGAAGTAGTACGAGCTCTGCATGAATCCCGTCATGTCGCTCCTCACGTGGAAATAGTAAAAGGAGTACCCGAAGACGGCGATCGCGGTGCTTCCTCCACACACGAGAGAGCGCCACCACCACTCGTGATCCTCGGCGGCGAGCTGGAAATAGGTCAGGGAGATGGTCATAAAGGCGGTGACGAGGATGAGGATGACGAAGACGACGAAGAGCACGCTGTAAATCGTGTACACCTTGTGTCCCCAGACCGAGGCGAAGATGTAGTACAGCTCGATGTAGATGGCGGAAAAGGGAAGGAAGCTCGCGATGCACATCTGCGGAATCGTCGAGCGATACCACGGAAGCACCGGAATCTCCCGAGGATACTTTGTCGTTCTCACCGGCGCGTTGAAATCAGCCGGCGCATTCTTCCCGGCGATACCCCCGAAGATGGTCGAAGGGATGGTGACGACGGCCCAGAGGAGAATGAAACTAACGATGGTACCGAAAGGCAGCGCGGCAGTGCTTCGGTAGAAGATGGCGACGGTATTCAGGAAGGAGAAGACTATTCCGAGAGGACCGCAGAACAAGACGCACGTCAACAGGACGTTTCGCACCCAGTTCTCCCCACCCATTTGCCTGTACGTGTTCGCCGAAACGTACCCCGCGATGCCCGCGGTGAACGCGTAGCCTATGATGCAGGTTGCGATGACGGAGCCCGTGTCGTACGGATAAAACGCCCCGATGAGCGCGAGCACGAAGACGAACCCGACGAGAAAGGCGAGCTGCGCGCCCGTGCCGATGATGGCGGCGAACAGCGATCGACCTCGCGGGAATCGGAAAACGTCGCCGTGAACGTACTTCCACCCCGACTCTTCTTGTGATTCGAGCATTTCTTCATCCTTGGCGAACTTGACGAAGTCATTCTTGAGCACTCGCAACAGAATCGACGCGAGGAAGCCCATCATCAACACAACCGTCACGCACGAGTTCACAATGCTAAACCAGTGAATCTCGAGGTGTTCGGGCAAGAACGAGTAGCGGGAATACTTGTCCATCCTATCTTTGAACTCCACGCGCGTCTTCTTCCAGTGCACGCTGTACGAAAAGCGCACCGACATGGCCTCGTCCGCCGTGATGTCCACCGTTTTGAGCGGATCCGTGCTCAAGTTGATCTCAATCACGCGATCGTCGTTGTACGATATCTCGAAGTGCACGTGTGTGAACAAAAAATACTTGTTCTCAGCCGCCCCCCCGGCGTGCATGATCTTCTCCACCTTGCCGATGAATCCCCAAATCGGCAAATCGTCAAACAACATTTGAAAGTAGTAATCATTCTTAACAACCCGCCGAAACTTTTCCACCTCCTTTCGCTCCAAGAACTGCGCGCACAGGTCCGCGTTCTCCTTATCAACGCCGAAATCAATCTCGTACGGCGATCGAGCGAGTCGATCGCCCATCAAAACCTCGCCCAAATCCTCCGATTTGCGCTTCACGCCCTCTGGCGTGCGACAAAATGGAAAATCATAATACCGATACGTCTGCGCCCGAGTCGTTAAAACGCACGAAATCGGTCAGCACTCGCGGTTGCAACAGATCGCGGTATCGGCACCGCTCGAGATGTCTCACCGCGACTCGTTCGCCCGCGCGACCGAGAAAGGGAGCGCCGTCGCGTCGCGTCGCGCGTCGCGAAATAATCCGTCGCCCGAACCATCGCTCTCTCTCGCTCTCTCTCGCGCCGCACGCACCTCGGTCGGGTTATGAAACGGTCCAACCTTATTCGCGTACAGCGTCACGCGATCGCCTCGCGCGTACGTCGATCCCGCGAGGAGTTTTCGTCCGTGCGCGGGCGATCCGAGCGAATCAACGAAACTTTTCACGCCTTCACCGTTCGCGCTCGACGCGAGCGCGGACGCCGCGCACAGGACGACCGCGAGCATCGATCGTCGCGCGTGCGTCGATCGCGCATCGCGGCGCGCGCGCGACATGCGCGGAGGTGTGCGGAGGGTGGGTTTCGTTGAATATCAATGTACGTCTCGCGCGTCTCTCGCGCGTCCTCCGTCACGCGTCCAATCCGAGCTCGACGGCGAGCGCGGTGGGCATCTTCTTCGACGAGCGCGTCGCGTTCGCGTTCCTCTCGTTCTCGTCGTCGATCGTCTTCTTCTGCTTGATCGTGCGCTGGGTGTCGACGTTGTCCTTGGTGAGCTCGGGCGGGGGCGCGAAAAAGCCAAATCCGGCGGGTTTCGCGGCGACCTCCGTCGTCGTCGTCGCGAGCGCCGGGAACGCGCTCGACGGCTTGGCCGATTTCGTGGACGCATCTTTCGTCTCCTCACCCGCGGCGGTCGCCGGGGCGCCGCTCAGACGCGAGAAGACGCTCGCGCGCGACGCGTCTTCCATCGGTTTCGTCGCGTCCCGTCGCGTCAACGCCGCGAATCCAGCGAACGCGTTCGGATTCGCGGTCGCCCCCTCACCGAGCGGCGACGCGCCCGGTCTTCGCGCCTTGACCGGTTTCCGTCGTTCGCTCACGCTCGCCGACGCGGACGGTGACTCCACCGCGTCGCCCGGTTTCCTCCGCGCCTCGTACGTCGCCCCGCGATCCTCAAACGCCTTCCTCTCCCGCTCTCGATCCGCCGCCTCCTCCCGCTCCCGCGCCGCCTTCCGCTCTTCACACTGTTTCTTCGCCAACGCAATCATCGCCGCGACGTCATCATCCGGCGTCGTCGTCGACGCGAACGGATTCGCCCCCGGCGGCGCCGCCGGCGCCGCCGCCGCCCGTCCAAAATAATTCCCCGCGCGCGCGTCCTCGTCCTCGCCCACCGCCCCATCGTCGACGTCCGACGCCGACGCATCGCCGCCATCGCTCGAGGCCTCGTCTTCGGACGCGTCCACGTCGTCGTCGTCGTCGTCGCCGTCCTACCGTTCGCGTCCCGTTCGAACCGTCGCCCGTCAGTCGCCGCGCGCGCGATCGATCATCCATCATCCCTCCGCGCCTCGCGTCGCTCACGTCGCTCGCACCACACCACATCCACCCACGTCGCGCCCGTCGCGGCGTCGACGCACCGTCGTCGTCGCGCGCCCGTCGTCGTCGTCGTCGTCGTCGTCCTCGTTCTCGTTCTCGCCCTCACGCGCCCGACGCCGGTCCATGGCTGTTTTCACCGTCGCCCGTTCGCCCCGTCGTCCTCGCTCGCGTCGCCGCGACGCCGAGGACGACGACGGGCGTCTCCCGCGCGGGCGTCTCCCGTCTCTCGTCGTCGTCGTCGTCGTCGTCGTCGTCGTCGTCGTCGTCGTCGAAGTCGATGGCGTGCGTGCATACTGTTCGCGCACATAGAATACTATGGGTACGCGTATGTGTATGTGTGTACATACATACTGTTCGCACACATAGCATACTATGGGTACGCGTATGTCTATGTGTGTACATACATACTGTTCGCACACATAGCATACTATGGGTACGCGTATGTCTATGTGTGTACATACATACTGTTCGCACACATAGCATACTATGGGTACGCGTATGTCTATGTGTGAACCACACCGCGCAAGTGCCCGCGTGATTCTGGGTGTTCACGTGATGATGGGCGATTCTTCGTTATAGTACGTACACACCCCATCGCGGCACGCCGCGCGCGCCGCCGACGCCGACGCCATCGCCACGCGCGCGCCATGCCGCGCCGCGCCGTCGCGCTCGCGCTCGCCCTCGTCGCGATCGCCGCGCGCGCGGTGGCGGCGACGCCCACGCTGAAGTTCGCGCAGACGCACGTGTTCGAGGCGCCGTATAAGCGATGGACCGCCGGGCAGACTGGTGGACAGAATTTAAAGTCGCCGTACGACGAGACGGAGCTCCACTTGATCGGCGCCCGCGCGGCGCTGGTCTTGGTGGAGTTTTACGACGCGGGCGTGAGCGAGGCGAAGATGCGGGTGACGAACGCGTTCGACGCGACGGGGACGGAGATGACGTTGAACGCGTCGACGCCGGGGACGTACGGGGACGACGACGCGACGACGATGGCGGACGGCGGGCCGTATTCGAGCACGGCGTACTCGGCGATCGTTCCGGGGGAGTACGTCAAGCGTGGGTTGAGCGTCGAGATCACGTGGACGTCGGGTGGGACGCCGCGGACGCACGCGATGACGTCGATCAAGGTTGGCGCGCCGACGCGATTCAAAATCGTCACCGTGCCGGTGTACTTTTTCAACGCCAGCGAATCGATGGTGCACAACGGTCACGTGCTCACGGCGGAGAGAGTGGGTAACATGGAGCCGAGCGTCGCGCGAGAGTATTCGAGCAAGATGCCGTGTAGCACGTTTCACACGGAACTGCACCCCATGAAACGGTTCAACATGAGCTACGTGGTCGTGCCGCCTGGAAGGGGTTACGACGGCGTAACGCGCGCGGCGTATCGCATCAATCAGAGAGACGACGAGGCGAATGGGTTTGATACCATTTCCATCGGCATGGGTATCCTCAGGAAGTTGAGAAAGTTTGACGGTGAAAGCAAAATCGCGACGCAGTATTACAGTCCGTTGATTTACAAGAAAAGTGCCGCCAAGGGAGGAGGGTACGATGGTCCGGGGGGGGGGCTCGGCGGCGGGCACATCGGCACGGGATCCTACACTTTTTCGGGAGTCTTCTTCCACGAGCAGGGACACGCCGCGGGATTGCCGCACGCGAAAGAGGCGTACAACAGTTCATCGTATCCGTATCCCGAAGGAAGCCTACAAGGCTCGGCTTGGGCGTACGACATGCACAGTAATAAACTGATCGATCCGTACAAGAAGCCTTGTACATATAACACGTGTCCAAGTTCCATCTACGGATACAAACAAGATGTCATGCAAGGCGGACACGGTGATCGGGAAAGCGGCCAACACTTTGGACTCTTTTCAGATTACAACGTGGCCAGAATACAACGTTACTTTGAGCGTCGGGGAGCTATTGGAGTCACTCCAGCCGGTGGTTTCGCGAAGTGGGACGACGACGCGCAGGCGTGGTCCGACGCGACGTCTTCTGTAAAGGTCGTGACAATCAATGAGCCGGTAGTTTTCATCTACGCAACAGCGAGCTGCACCGAGTTGAGCTGTGATTCGGGCGGCGCGCTCGATACATCGAAGTTGTGGCTCACTCAGATATATCCTCCCGTGACGTACGTCGGGAACTCGACGGAGGTCGTCGACGTCGATGACAGAGCACAGTTTGAACGTTTCAATTATGATCAAGCAACCGGCGTCGAACGAGATTATTGTGGCCGCGGCTGCGACTTTATGTACAAGGTGCACTTTGCCGATGGTACACATCGTACAGTCATGATTCCCGATGGCGCCTCGTTTCGATCGTCGCCGGCGTCATCGATTTCAAGTGACGCGACAAACCCACTGCATGGTGACTCGTTCATCTCTTTAGGTTGCGTGGTGCGAACGGAGGGTAAGGATGTCGTGAGAGTTGACATGCTGTATCTTCCGTTCGTTTGGAGAGGGGTACACAACCGCGCGGCGCAGCTCATTACGTCTTGGACGAAAACTGGCGGAGAAACTCGACCGATTTCTCCTGTAAACACCGTCGGCCAACCAGTGTCGACGCTTGTCGCGTCCTTAAAAATGCTGTTACCAGCAGGCAAAGGAATATGTTCGTACAACGTGACGAGTGCGCACGCGCGTCAAGCAGAAGAACTTGCGATGAGCGCACTTGAAGGGTTTTTTCAAAAGGAAGTAGGCGCGCCGATCCCCCCGTTGTCAGGCGTCGCGTTGGCGTGCGCGTGCGCTGGCGAAGGGCCAACCTGCGACGCTACGTGCAAGAAGCAGGTTGGATTCCGGTCCTGGGAGCTACCACCGAGTAGTTTGAGTCGTTCAAGTGAAGTGCAGTGCGGATGTCAGTTTAAATGTGAGGATTTGTCCGGGAAATGTCAGTATGGATTTGAGCCAGCGAGTGACAAATGTGAGAGAGGGACGCACGCTTCGAAACTCACTAAACGATGGCACAGCTCACAGGTGTACTACTACGTGGATGCATACGACAGACCACTCATGGACATCGAGGGCGCAAAGGATATGATTGATGATTTCAGACACAATAAAACGTTGGACGAACAAATCAAAAAATGTAGAAAAGATCCAGAGTGTCAACGGATCATTTTCGAACAGGCGCACAGTACATACAAGACTTCGTTCAAACGAGGCATCTGCGCGAACCCGTGCTACGTAAAAGATGATTGGAATCGCGTGACATACATCATCGACATGGAAAATCCTTGGGAGTTGAACATCACGGAGCGCGAAGCGTTAGTGTCCGCGGGGACCACCGTGCATTTGGACGTGAAGCTGGCATCGTCCGACTCCACGCTTCTGAGTCAGATGCAAAGTTACATCTCTGACACGTGCGCGAGCGTATCGTTAGCTATGCGGAACGCGTTCCCTTGGCCAGCGGACACACCCAGCACCACGGCGTGCCCGTGCGATGCGTCTACGCCGCCGGCCAACGGCGATGTCGGCAACTGCGTCGGCACGCTCTTGCCCGGGTCGAAGTGCCAGCCGGAGTGCCACACGGGGTACGCCGTATCCGGCGAGAGCGTGTGTATCGCAGGCACGCTCACCCACGCGCTGTGCGCTGGGAAACCGTGCGACGCGTCTACGCCGCCGCCGAACGGCGCCGTCGGCGACTGCACCGACTCGCTCGCCTCCGGGTCGACGTGTCAGCCGACGTGCAACGCCGGATACACCGCATCCGGTCCGAGCTCGTGTACCGCGGGCACGCTCGCCTCCGCGACGTGCGGCCCAATCTGGAGTCTTCCAGATTCCCAGGGTCTCAACTTTACCAGCTCCGCGCGCGACGCGTCCCGCGGCGCGCGGACGGGCATAGCCATCGCCGTCGGTTCCGCCGTCGTCCTCGCGGGACTATAGTTTAGTTAGTTTAATTTAAAAGCCTTCTCGCGTCGCCGACGGATCCGGCGCCTCGCCGACGTCGACGCGTCGCGCGTGCGCGCGTCGCGACGAAAAATCACACGCGTCGCGCGCGCGACGACGCATCGCATTCCACCGCGCGCGTCCGCGTCGAGCGTCGCTCGCGCATCCGCGCGGCGTCGGCCTCGATCGCCCGTCCGCGGCCACCACCGCGCGCGCCGCGGCCTCGCTCGCGTCAGTCCCTCGACGTCCCGCGCGACGATCGCCGTCGCCGTCGAGTGGGAACGACATGGCGTCGCGCGCGCGTCGCGCGCCCGTGGGCCCGTACGGGGACGTCCCAGCGCCCGCGGGCTACGTCCCGGGCCTCGGACGCGGCGCCGCGGGGTTCACCACGCGCGGAGACATCGGACCAGGGTCGGAGGGGGTGATTCGGGTGCGCGCGACGACGACGACGCGATTGGACGGGACGAAGGGCGTGATTCGATGACGGACGATGGTAAACGCGCGCGCGGGGGTGTGTGGGAGGGTGGTGATGCGCGAGACTGACGATGGACGCGACGCGCGGGTCGTGACGCGCAGGAGGGTGACGGACGCGAAGACGACGGACGGGGGACGAACGGCGCGGACGACGGGTTGTTCGGACGAGACGCGTCGACGTACGACGACGACGACGCGGAGGCGGATGAGGTGTGGGCCGCGATCGAACACCGCATGGACTCGCGAAGGAAGGAGGCGAGAGAGGCGAAGGAGAGGGAACAGATTGTGCAGTTTCGAGAGGAGAATCCAAACGTGGCGGAGACGTTTCGGGAGCTGAAGAGAGGATTAAAGGATGTTTCCTACGCCGAGTGGGACGCGATTCCGGACATTGGAGATTACACCATCAAGAAAAAGAAGTTGAACGCTGGATTCGCGCCGCCGCCGGACACGTTGCTCGCCAAGGCGTTGGCAGAGAAGGAGACGGTGAACGCGGCGGCGGACGACGGCGAGCAAGACTTGACAGCCGTCGGCGAGGGTAGAGGCACCGTTCTCGGGTTAAAACTCGATCGACTCTCCGATTCAGTGACCGGACAGACGACGATCGATCCGAAGGGCTACCTCACGTCTCTCGGCTCGCAAAAGATTACGAGCGCGGCGGAGATTTCAGACATTAAAAAAGCACGTCTGTTGCTCAAGAGCGTGATAAACACAAACCCGAAGCACGCCCCGGGATGGATTGCCGCCGCGCGTTTGGAGGAGCTCGCGGGGAAATTACAACAGGCGCGAACGTTCGCGCAAAAGGGGTGCGACGAGTGTCCAAAGAACGAGGACGTCTGGCTCGAGGCTGCTCGACTGAACACGCCGGAGAACGCAAAGGCCATTTTGGCGCGAGGCGTGCAGTCGTTGCCGAACTCGGTGACGATTTGGATCGCCGCCGCGCAGCTGGAGGTCGAAGACGAGCGCAAGCGTCGCGTGTTGCGTCGGGCGCTGGAAAACGTTCCGAATTCAGTGCGTCTCTGGAAGGCGCTCGTGGACCTCAGCGCGGAGGACGACGCGAGAGTTCTCCTCGCGCGCGCGACGGAGTGCTGCCCACAACACGTCGAGCTCTGGCTCGCTCTCGCGCGATTAGAGACGGCGGAGAACGCGCGCAAGGTTTTGAACAAGGCGCGAGAGACATTACCCAGGGAGCCACAGATTTGGATCACCGCGGCGAAGCTCGAGGAAGCGAATGGCAATGGAAAAATGGTGGAGAAAATCATCGCTCGCGCCGTCAAGTCGCTCAAGTCGCATGGGGTGACGATCCATCGCGAGAGCTGGATCAGAGAGGCCGAGGTCGCCGAGAACTCGGATCCGCCGTCCGTCGCGACGTGCCGAGCGATCGTCAAGGCGACGATCGGCGAGGGCGTGGAGGAGGAGGACAAGAAGCGTACGTGGAAGGCGGACGCCGAGGAATGCATGAAGCGCGAGAGCGCGGAGACTGCGAGGGCGATTTACGCACACGCGTTGGATTCGGGGTTCTCGCACAAGAAGGGCCTCTGGATGAAGGCGGCGATGCTAGAAAAGAGGTTCGGCACTCCGGATTCCGTCGACGAGGTTTTGCGCAAGGCGGTGACATTCTGCCCGAACGCCGAAATTTTGTGGCTCATGAACGCCAAGGAACGCTGGCTCAGCGGCGACGTTCCTCGAGCGCGCGAAATTTTACAGGCTGCGTTCGATGCCAATCCTGACTCGGAAGAAATCTGGCTCGCCGCGTTTAAGCTGGAGTTTGAGAATGGCGAAAGCGCTCGAGCGCGCATCCTCCTCGCGAAGGCGCGAGAGCGCCTGACAGACTCGGAGCGAGTTTGGATGAAATCCGCGCTCGTTGAGCACGAGGCTGGAGACGCAAAGGCCGAGCGTGCCCTCTTAAACGAGGGCATCGAGATGTTTCCCACGTTCTGGAAGCTCTGGATCATGCTCGGCCAACTCGAGGAGCGAGAAGGGCGCGCCGAAGAGGCGGAACAGGCGTACGAAAAGGGGACGAAGAAGTGTCCGAGCGCGATCGCGCTGTGGATCTCCCTTTCAGAATTCGAATTGCGCGTCCAGGGCAACGCATCAAAGGCGAGAATCATCCTCGAGACGGCTCGCACGAAGAATCCGGCGAATGAGCGCCTCTGGCTCGCCGCCGTGCGTCAGGAGCGCGAGAGCGGCAACGTACAAATCGCCGAGAGTTACCTCGCGCGGGCGATCCAGGAGTGTCCAACGAGTGGATTACTCTTGGCCGAGTCCGTTCGCATGGCGCCTCGTCCGCAGCGCAAATCGAAATCCGTCGATGCTTTGAAGAGATGCGACAACGATCCGTACGTCATCGCCGCCGTCGCGATTTTGTTCTGGAGCGACCGCAAGCTGGACAAGGCGCGAAGCTGGTGGAACCGCGCGGTGACGATCGCTCCGGATATCGGCGACCACTGGGCGAGCTATTACAAGTTTGAGCTCCAAACTGCCGGCGATGCTGAAGCCGCAAAGGTTGCCGAGCGTTGCGCCAAGGCGGATCCCAGACACGGCGAAAACTGGCAACGCGTGAGGAAACGCGTCGAAAACTGGCACATCGGCGTCATCGACGTCTTGAAAAAGACCGCGAGCGAGCAGGACGAGATGGCGTTCGCGTCCAAGTGATAGATTAGTTTGTTATCATTCATCGATGACTCGTAGCTAGCAACGCACGACGCCCCGACCCCGCGTCGTCGCGCGTCGCACCCCTCACTCGTCCCCGCGCGGTTCCGCCATGGCGACGACGTCACCCCAAATCGATCCAAAGAACATCGACTTCGTTCGCTACGAGGACGAGGACACGCACATGCCCCTGGTGAGCGCTCTGTGCGATGCCGAGCTGAGCGAGCCCTACTCCATCTTTGTCCTCAGATATTTCGTCAACAACTGGCCCGAGCTGTGCTTCATGGCGATGGATCGCACGACGTCGCAGTGTTTGGGAGTGATTGTGTGTAAGCTGGAGAAGCATCGAGAGATGATGCGCGGGTACGTCGCGATGTTGGTGGTTGATAAGAAGGCGCGAAAGGCGCGTCTGGGGAGCGAGCTGACGAAGCGCGCGTTGGCGGCGATGCAAGCGAAGGGCGCGGATGAGTGCGTTTTAGAGGCGGAGACGACGAACGAGGGGGCTTTGAGGTTGTATCAATCCTTGGGTTTCATCAGAGATAAGCGATTGTCGAGGTATTACCTGAGCGGGACGGATGCGTATCGGTTGAAGCTGTTGTTTCCGCTCCCGTCGCAGGTCGACGGGGACGGACATCTCCAGGACCTCGTGGAGGGGATAGAAAAGTTGTAGATCCTATGGATCTCATCATTAGCGTTGTAGTCGTAGAGACCGTAGTAAGTTCTAAATCGTGTAGGGGTGCGTCGTCAATGGTATGATTTTTTTGATCACAGGTCTAAGTTCGCTAACGCGAGAAACCCCGATTGTTCGCGGGAGAAACTCAAGATGCTCACGACGATTATCCCGAGCCCCGGGCCCATCGTCCTCTACCCGTGGTGCACGTGTGTTGACCACGGACACGGACGCCCCAGTAGTGTCGCAAACCTCTGTGGTTTCTAATCTTCTTCAGACGCTCGAGGTCGTCGCGCAACTTCGTGTCGAGCTGGTTGGACACCACCTGAGAGAACTTGCCATCCTTGAAATCGTGCTTGCGGTTCAGGAACCAATCCGGAATTCTGAACTGTCGCGGGTTGGACACGATCACCATCAAAGATTCCAGCTCCGCGGCGGAGAGCTCCCCGGCGCGCTTCCCGAGATCGATCTCAGCCTTTTTGCACACCAAGTTGGAGAAGCGGCGGCCGATCCCCTTGATCTTGGTCAGGGAGTACATCACCTTCTCACGACCGTCAACGTTGGTGTTGAGGACGCGGATGATGTGTTGGAAATCATCACCGACGATGAGGCTCATCGCTGTTTCGTCTTACGGTTCGTAAACGACACGCGAAGACGTAGGTTTCTTCGCGATGTGAGACGCGAAGTGTTTTGAGCGATCTGAGTGAAGATCGATCTCGTGCGCTCGTGTGTGCACGCGCGCTCGGCGTTCGAAAGTCGCGTGAAGGGCGACGAGTGAACCTTAAGTGCGTTGACTTCTCGCGGTCGGTGAACCGTGAGCGTCAGAAAGAGACGGAACGCGCGCGCGCGCGCGGGATGGCGTGCGCGCTAGGGCTTTTTTTTGGCTCATGCCGAATGTCCGATCTATTTGCGTTCGTGTATTCAGATGAAGTTTAGACGATGTAATGTTTATCGCGAGGCACATTAGATTGGTTTGGGTGACGGGCAAAGAATTGATTAAATGTGAGAAATCCGTCGACGTCGCATGCGCTATCGATCCACGCGAGAGTGTCCAGACTCCCCGGGACTGTTACGCGTTCGGCTTGGGGCCGAGCTCGCCTCTGGGATCGGTGACGGTGATATCACCGTCCTTGGGTTCGTTCTTCAATTTGCTTTGCACCGCATCCTCGCTCACACGCGCGTCCAGGGCCTCGAGGATGCGATCGATCACGACGTCCACCGGCGCGCCGGCGTCGTCCCGCGAGCCGAGCGGAACCGTCAGGTCCGCTTGTTTGTACATCGATTCCCTGGCCTCCAACAACTTTTCAATCCTGGCCACGACTCGTGCCATCTGTTCGCTCTCATCATCGCTCTCACCGCCCTCGCTCGCTAAGAGTGGTCGTTTCTCCACCCCGTCCGCCAAGACGCGCTTGGCCAAGAGCTCGTTCTCGCCGTGCAGGCGCACCGTCACCCCGTTGTGCAGATGCATCCAATTCGTCCGTTCGCACACGATCCCACCCCCGGTACTGACGACACAGTTCTTATAAGCCGCGACTTCCGCTAAGATCAGGCTCTCGATCGCCCGGAACTCGCTCTCGCCCAACTCGGCGAAGAGCTCCGCCGGCGTCTTCTTCGTCACCCCTTGAATGAGCTCGTCGGTGTCCAGGTGCTTGTATCCCATCGCTTTCGCGAGCGCCGCCCCGACGGTAGACTTACCAGTGCCCATGATGCCGATCAAGAATACGCTCGTGCCCACGAGCTTATCGGCCACGGCGCGACCACGAAGGTACTGGGCGGATGTCGCGTCCGCCGCGGCCGCGAGCGCGACGCGACGCGTCGTCGATCGAGAGACGGAACGCGGACGCGCGCACGGGGCGGGCGCGAACGCGCGCATGGTCGACGCGCTCATCTGTGTGAGCTCGCGCGCGAGTCAGGGAGTGCAGTGGAGGACGATGAAATGAATTGCAGTCACCGACCCCAAAACCCTGAGCGTCTATCGGACGGCTTCGGCGCCTGCGAAGGACAAGACGATGGGTAAGACGACGACACCGTGGAGAACACCCACGGCGACAATGACGCACCACTGAAGGAAGAAGTAAGTGCGGAAGTAGTCGTATCGTGCGAAGGCGACGGGAGCGACGCCGAGTACGGTGGTGAAGGCTGCGTTGACGAGCACGTGGCCGACGGATTTGAAGGCGTCGACGGAGCGAAGGTTCGCGCTCTCACGCCACTGTGAGGTGTGGAAAGCGCGAGCCATGTGAACGACGAATTCAACCGAGACTCCGGTGGACGATATGAGATTCATCATCGACGCTCCGTTGAGCTTGACGTCGAATCTCGCCATCGCGCCGAAGAGCTGCGCCTGGATCAAGAACAGGGCGCACGCGCTCACGAGCGTCGTTCTGACGTCCAAGGCGATGAACATGATCACCGTGGCTGCCGTCGCACCCACGAAGAGGGCTATCCATGTGTCGCGGACCATGTTCAGGTATTGATGGTTGAGCTGGAAGAGGGAGATCTCGAAAGGGAACGCTCGAGCGCCACGTTCAGCGACGATTTCCGATCGAGCGAGCGCATTGCGAGCCGCTCTAACGTACTCAAGCTTTGTCTCGAAGTCAAACACGTCCTCGACGTAGAACAACATTCTCGCGCTCTCAACAACAGTAACGTTTGCGTCTTTTCGCCGCGTCGTGAACGCCGCAGAGATTTCTCCGCGGGTGCCACCTTGGAGAAAAGCATCAAACTCACGACCAAACGCCTCTGGGCTGTACATCAAACGATGTGGACAAGTACACGTGGCATAGCTTGCGGTGTCTTCCGGACGGAGAAATAAACACTGCTTGTCAAGAGGTTCCTTGTTCAGCGGCGATGCTGGACGTGTTTGCGGAGAGTAAGCGAGGCAGCGGAACATGCACGTAAAGGTATGATTTTCGTCCCTGCTCACCGTGGCGCAAACGTCGGCGGACGGATTCTCCACCCTCGTCGCGTCGAAGTACCACACAGTATCGTTCGCAGAGCACGACGTTCCTCCTGTGACTCTTGATTCTGTGTATTCTGAGTAAAATTTCATGAAATTCGTCGATCCAGTCTTCGCGTCGACGCGATCGAGGTTGATGAAATCTGCTTCCAACCGTCGCATTGCCACCGCGTGCTCGGCAAAATCGACGTTTGAGACGACGACAAACACTGGATAAGTCGCGAACCGGCTTTCGGATTCATCGATGAAGCTCCACATGTACGAATCTTGAGGTACGACGCTTCGAGGCTCGAGTCCCAAGCGAACGTGCGGAATACCAAGGAGGAAGAAGATGGCAAACGTGGCGTAGACGCCCAGGACGACAAGTCGAAGAACAATCGATGTCGTTCGCCCCAGACCCATTATCCAGCGCGCAAGGGGCTCGTAAACGGCGGATGAAATCTTTGAGAATGAGTTCTGCCGACGAGGCGGCGGTGGTGGCGCCTCTGTCGCTTTCGACGAGCGTTGGAGATGCCTGAGCAAAATTCCGGGAAAGATCAACACGGCGGCGACGTAATTGCACGCCACAGCGATGGCGACTTGTAATCCAAAGTTCTTGATCACCGGTACCGGGCTCAGCGTGCTCGCAAGGAACGCGGCGGCGTTCATCGCGCTCGTTAGTGTGATTGTCGCTCCGGCATCCAGCAGCGCCCGCTTGATGATCTCATCTGGACCGATCTCGCTCACAGCGGTCCTGGCTGCGTGCGAAGCAAAGACAAAGAAATCATTCACGCCGAGACCCATCGATAGAAACGGTAACACCTGAAGTGTAGCTGCGCTGAATGATACGCCGGTGATGTGAGATAAAATTCCACTGAGACCGATGGATGCCCACGTTCCCGCGATGACGGCGAAGAACCCCTCAAGCGCCGCACGAGGTCCGCACGCTTCATTGGGCGAAATCGTGAAGTACAGAGTGAGGTAGGCAGCGACGACCACGTAACCGACGATGATCAAAACGTACGCCCCGCGCGAAGAGTCGGCGACAATATCTTCCATGCTTCTCTCTGCCATATACGAGATCGAAATGTGCTCGTACTCTGAGAGCTTCTCTTCAATTTGTGAGAGCAAAGCGGATTCCCAATCGAGAATGAGCGCCTCCGCGTCCTCAACCGAGATGTCTCGACGTACGTGTACCGGTGAATACGCCGACGGCGTGGACGATTTTCGCGTCGTAGACGTCGACGATTTCGATCTCGAGGACGACTCGTCCGTAGCGTTTGACTTACACGCCTCGAGCACTGGCGTGTCGAACCCGCTCAGAGTACAGAAGAGCACGATTTGACCGACGTCTCCGCGAGAGAAGAGGTCCACGCAAGGAGCGCCACAACCGAGCGCGTTGCAGTGACACTTTGATTTCGAAAAGTCTTCGAGACTGGCGCAGCACTCACCGGCGGCTGTGAAGTTCCCCTCGGCGATTGATGGACACTTGGTGCGAAGCGACATTAGCATGCTCGCGCACGTGAATGCGTTTCGAACCGGCGTCGCCGAGCTCAAATCTTTCACCTCGAACGCCGCCGCTACGGTCTCACCGTCAGGAAGTGTGGCGCACTGTGAGTCCAACGCCACGCGTGAGAGTTCACAAGATGATAAAATCTGATTTCCCAGGGTGAACAGGGACGCGTCACTGGCGAAGAGGGGTTGCACGCACGGATGCTCGCGAAGCTGCGAGAGGAACGCGCAGCATGATTCCGGCTGCGAGGCGTCGCCCTCGGGAACGCACCCGTACTCGAGCACGGAGAACAAGTTGAACGTCTCGATGCACGAACAGTCATCTAAAGCCTTCCCTCTGGCGGGACATCCTAGAACATCTCCGATCTCACGCGGTTCTTCATCCCACGAAGTCCTCACGATGCCTCTCTTTGCCAACGTCTTCGCGTCTCGGATCTGGAAAACCATTCTCACAGCCTCGAGCGCGCCGCCGTCGTCGCTAAGACCTGAAAACAAGAGCTTTGGCGGCATGACGAGATTAAACCACTGCTTGCAACCCTCCACGAAGGATGCATTGAAGTCGCCGCGAGCGAAATCAAACGAATCCAACAAAGGTCTCGGCGCGTACGCCGCGGCGAAATCCGCGTTCTTCTCGGCACCCCCTGGGACGCTCACCACGCCGTCAGCGAAACAGTCCAAGGGTGTTATCTGAAAACACGGCGCGTGTGGCTCGGAATCGACGTACTTGTAACACAGTTCGAACAATCCGACGCGTTCGCCGTCCGCCGTCGTCGTCGTCACGTCCCGATACATCCACCGCGTGAAGTCCAACATCTCCCCGAACGCCTCCCGAGACGCCAAGTTCACCCCCGTCACCACGAACGCGCTCGTTCTGTAATTCCCGAAGGACGTCGTCCACGCCTCCACCTCCTCCCGCGCCGCGGCGTCGCACCACAGCGCCAACGGGTCCGTCTCCACCACCGGCGCTCGCATCGCCGTGGACGCCCCGAGACCGATCGCCAGCGCCACCCCGAGCGCGCCGACCGTTCGCCCGCGCGCGCACGTCATCAGGACCTCCGTCCACGCGCGCGCGATCGACGCCATCGCCCGAGGCGCGCGCGCGAGCGTCCGAGTCACACGACGTCAAACGTCGGTTCATCTTCTCCGAGGGGTCGTCTCAACACACACGCGGACCTTTACAACACCAATCGCGACGTCGCAACACCATCGCTCGACGCGTCGACGTCCACGCGCGCGTCGTCGTCCACGCGTCGTCCGCGCGCGCGAGGACGTCCACGCGCGCGCGGGCGGTCGTCGGCGTCGCGCGCGTCGCGCTCGGACGCGACGTGAAGGGAACGCGCGCGCGCGCGGGACGACGGCATGTCGAACGCCGAGCGCGACGCCCTGCTCGGCGGCGACGCGGAGCGCGAGCGACGACGGGCGGCGATGGACGGCGTGGAGCGGGCGAGTGAGAACGCGGAGCGGTTGGAGCGAACGTCGAGGACGGCGCGAGAGAGCGCGACGACGGGGGAGAATATTTTGACGTCGCTTCGGGAGCAGCGGGACAAGATTCTGAGCGCCCGTGCGTCGGCTGGACACATGGAACGGGACATGGATAAGAGTGAGCGGAGAATGACGCAGTTGGGGTGCGAGAAGTGCGTGCAGCGATGGGCGTTCTGCGTTCTCGTGACGTTAGTCTTGGGTGGGTTGGGATTTTTCCTCTGGTGGAAGCTGCACCGCGGGAACGACGCGCGGGACGACGAGCATCATAAACAGCGGAGCGAGGCGATGCTGGCGAGGGCGGCGACCGCAGGGTTCGATGCGGCGCGCGAGTGGCGCGCGAGACGTCTGTTGCGCTCGAATTGAGGCTTTCGAATGTTAAAAATTAGCTCTAGTCATCGCTGTACAAATCCATAGTATCATCATACGCTTCGTTCGCTCAACTGAACCCGACGGATTTCCATCCGTACTTTTGCGTCAGCGCTAAGCGAAGCGCGCGAATGCGCTTACGGTTGACGTCGCCGTCGCTCTGCCCCAGTCGACTCGCCGAGCGGTACTCCACGCGCGCCTTTTCCTTGGCTGACTGGTCTTGCGGAAACCAAAACTCGACGTCATCGACGAAACCGAAAATCTTCGACTTGTACTCCACCCTCAAGTAATCTTCACGTTTATCCACGATCGTCGCCGCGAATCCATCGCAATCCGTCGTCTCCACGACGTCGATTAATTGCGCCATTGCGTCCTCGCGCGTCGTCCGCGCCGCGCCTCTCGCGACCTTTTCCTCGTCCACGTACGTCCACGCCGGGACGTAGTGCTGCGCGTCGCTGAACTCATCGGCGGTCCCGACGCAATTCGGCGTCGATGGGCACAGCGCGAGGCCGATCGTCTCGCCGTTGAACGATTGCACGCCCAAGTTTTGAGGTTTCTCGCCCTCAAAGTTGAACACCGAACCGAGGACGAGCGGCGCGGCGATCGAACGCAGCGCGGCGCGGCGCCCCTTGAGCGAGGGATTTGCGCGCGTCGGTCGCTGGGCGTCGTTCGTCGACGCGGCGTCGGCGCGGATCGTGAGCGCGCGGATCGTGCGCATGGCGAGGAGTGGCGTCACGCTCTCTCTTTGACGAGAGTTTTCGGGCTACGAAGAATCTGTTCGTTGAATAATGTGCTAGATGGGCGCTAAATGAGCGAGGGCGTTTGGTCGACGGCGCGTTTCGCGGCGAGTACGCGACGCTTCTCGTTGAGGAAGAGACGCTCGAGCTCGGGGGCGACGTCTTTCATCGCCGGCCGAACGCCGGGTTCGGCGTCCCAACACGCGCGCATTCGCTCGAGGTACTCCTCAGGGAGTTCCATGTCGTTCGTTTCAGTTGCGCCGTCTCCGGGCCTTTCGCCACGAAGAAGTGCGGCGACTATTTGCATCGGCGATAGCCCGACGAACGGTTCCTCTCTGGTGAGACACTCCCACATGACGATGCCAAAACTGTAGACGTCGACCGCCGAGGTGTACCGAGGTTGTCCATTTAGGAGCTCGGGCGCCATGAACTGATACGTGCCTACGACGGACATCATACCCCCGCTCGTAGAAGCGCCGCTGTGGAACTTCGAAAGGCCAAAGTCTCCGATCTTAATCGACCCGCCGTCGTCGATGAACAAGTTTCCGGATTTGACGTCTCTGTGAATTATTCCGCTCGCGTGAAGGTACACCAATCCTTTCGCGGCTTCGCTCATCCACTTCAACACCTTGAACGCCGAGAGTGTCTTCGACTGATTGTGCAAGTACGCGTACAGCGAACCTTTGTCGCAATAATCCATGACGATGCACAAGTTTGGCGGCTCCGTCGCAGCGCCGATGAATTGCACAATGTGTCGATGACGCAAGCGAGAGAGAAACGATAACTCGCGTTTGAACTCGGCGAGACCACGGTCATCGGACGTCTCTTCGCTAGTCATCATCGGCGCAGCGGCAGAACCATCGAGGACACACAGACGTTTGATGGCGACATCGGTGCCACGGAATTTTCCTCGGAAAACTTCGCCGAACGCGCCGCGCCCAATTTGGCGACCGAATTCCAACTCCGCCAAAGGGATCTCGACAAACCAATCCGGCTGGTGCATCGGGCTTCGTGGTGGTTTCTGAGGCGTGTGCGCGCCCTGCCGCGATGGCGATGGCATCCGCTTTGGAGTTCCCAACAGCTGCGTAAGCGCGTTCATGTCCAATGCGTCCGCGTTTGGTGCGTTCGCCGGCGTCGCGAAAGGGTCGACGTAAGTCAACTCGGACGCCGGCCCGCTCTGCAGCGGTGTGAACTCAAGCGGAGCCGCGAAAGCCTCCAGATCGAAATCGCTCGGTTTCCGTCTGTGACCTGGCCTGACGCCCAAATCTTGCGGTGGCGCCAGACCAAATGGGTTGTACCAGTCGACCGCATGGCTTCCCGGGCCGTCGAACTCAATCAGAGGGGGCGTCTCTCCCACCACCGGCGTTGCGTACGTTACCGACATTGGCTCTCCGCTCACGTCGGCGTCCATCAGATTGATGAACGTCGTATCCAAAACGTGCTTCTTCGCTGGTGCGTTTGCGCTGAGAATTTCTTTGATATCCGTCTCCGTCTCCAAAAAGTCCGGCGCGTTCACACCGAGTTCGTGCACACTCTCTTCGTGGAGATAAACTTTCGAGCGCGCCACGGCGAAGCACTGACGCAGCGCGTCGTACTCAACCTGGAATTTCTCGTTGTCGCTCTCCGATAATCGCTTCTCCTCGGCGAGCGTTGCCGCCACGAACAGCGCTGCTCCGTACGCTAAATCCGCCTCTTGAAGCGCCATCCGAGCGACAAAGGCGACGAGTTCGGCCCATTGTAACCCATCTGCCGCGTTCGCCTCCGTCACCCATTCAGACAAATCCGGTAACAGTGGCGCGGCGACGTCGAGCACGCGCCGCGCCTTGCCAGAAATCGCGATGAGCGCACACAGGCTCAGCGACGAGATCGGATCACTCATCCCGATGTCATCCTCGTCATCCAACAAAACTTCTTCTCGCGCGTCGACGCTGTAATTATTCTCAAAAGCCACGAAGTGCCTGTGAAATTTCACTTTTGCTCGCACGAGCGCCGCGCACGGCGCGACAAGTCCCGCGCACGCGTTCTGCCCCTGACGATCTTTCGCCCCCGCTCCTCGATTGAACTCCGCGCACATCTTCCTTCTCGCTCGGGCTAACTCACTCCTATCATCGCTCGAATACGCTTCGAGGGGTTCATCAAACAATTTCTCTCTCCACGCGTACAGCGGATACAGCATCGAGTTCGATCCGTAACGAGCCAACGCGTGAAGCAATCCCGCTCGTCGCAGAGCGCTCAGCGGCGAGCGCAAGACGTTCACCCGCGCCAACGCCCTGGCGATCTCCTCCGCGTTTTCCGCCTCGAATTCGCTCGCCCACGTCGCCCTGACCAACCGCTCCAAATGTTTCCGCTTTATCGACGCAAACGTCGGCAACGTCGACTTCACGCACGAGTACTCGTTCGCGCTCATCGACCGCACCGCGTGCTTCACGCGTTCCGTCAGCGACCCCTCGGCGTTCGTTCGCGACGTCGCGTGCGTGCCCGAGCCGTCGCCCGTCCCGCTCGACGCGTGGTCTCGATCCATCGTCGTTCTCGCGCTCGTCTGCGCGCTCCTCGACGACGTCGCGCGCGCGTCATCCCCGGCGCTCGTCGACGTCGATTCCTCCGCGTCGTGCACGCGCCGCGCGCGCGAGGACGCGCGACGCATCGACGACGCGACGCGGCGACGTGTGCGGTCGAATGACCAAAACATCGCACGCGTGGGAGACAGATCACGCCAATGCGACGCGCCCATGGACGTCCACGCGCTCGCTCGACGGTGCGCCGATGCCTCGGACGACGACGCCGACGACGCGTGCGCGGCGACGGTGGCGTCGGCGTGCGCGCGCGATCGAGAAACGATGGTACGCGCGGTGATGGGCATGGAAAGCATTCTGTGCGGGACGGACGCGCGGGCGCGGCGACGGGCGACGTCCATCTTAGCCGCGGCGACGGCGCGGTGCGTCGATGACCTGGACGCGCGCGGTGTCGATGCGCTCTGTGGATTCTTCGGCGGACGCTTGGGAGATCACGCGAGTTGCGGGGCGGCGGCGCGCGGGGCGGCGGCGAGCGCGAGACGGGCGAGCGAACGGGCGGTCGAGGAGGTTTCTCGAGCGTTGTTCACCGACGCGCGACCGCAGAGCCTGAGACAGAGTGATCGTGAGTCGTGCTTGGGGTTGGCGAACGCGTTGATGCGTGACGAGCGAACGGCGAGGGCGTGCGCGCGAGGCGCGGGTGAGGGCGACTTTGGCGAAGCCGTCGCGCGAATGGTGAGCGCGTTCGATGGCGAGAAGGACCCGAGGTGCGTGTTAGCTTTGGGTGAGTTTTGGGAGCTCATGCCTCGAGCGTTCGAGCTCTGCGGAGAGGCCGCGATGAAGGCGTACGAGGAGAATGCGGAGGAATTGTACGACGTCGCGGCGAGTTACTTTCCAGTGAGCTTCAAGCCGCCGAGAGGCGATTCGGTGAAGATTTCGCGAAGGCAGCTCGCGGAGGCTGTAGAGCGGGCGATGACGGCGTCGCCGTCATTCGCCCCGTGGGCGATCTCGCACGCGTTGGAGAGTTTGAACCCATCTCTTGGACCTGGGAAGATGGCGGACGCCGCTCGCGCGGTGCGAGCGATGGGCGAAAAGTGGGGACGTCGCGTGATGGAGGAATATTTGGACTTAATCTGGCGCTCCATGCGTGCGGCGCTGTCGCATCCGAACGCGACGAAGATGGAAGAGGATGACGACCCGCGAGCGACGACGCCGATGGCGGTGATGACGACGATGTTTGCGAGCGATTTCGGCGGCGGCGCTCTCTCTCGCGCGGCGTTGACGGATCAGAGCGTGCGAGATGCCGAGGCCGCTCTGCGTCGTCTCGCGAGCGAAACCGCGTCTAAGGGGACGTGTTCTATGGAAGTCGATGGCAGCGACGGGTGCTGCGGCGGAGGATGCGGCAGTGGCGGGGACGACGACGCGACGACTGGACGAGTCGTGGCGGCGTCCGCGAGCCGCGTGCTCGGCGCCGTCGCCGCGGCCACGCCCGCGCTCGCGTGCGAGGTCATTCAGGTGACATTGAAAAGGATCTTAGATGCGGCACAGATTTCTTCGGACAGTACGGCGTCCAAGGCTGCGTACGCATCGCTCATTCTCGCCACGCCCGCAATTGGCGGTGCTTTGGATTGCTGTGAACGAAACGCCGAGATAGGCGTTCGAGTGAGCGTCATGGGGGACGAGAGCGATCGACTAGTGCGTCTGTTCTCCTCCGCGGCTCTCGGTGAGATCAATGCGCAGAACGTGAGCGAGGTAATCATCCTGGGATTGGCTGGGTTACACATGATGTGCAAATTTCCATCCGGGTTTGGATTGGCGAGCGAAACTGCTCGCGTCGCCGTGACGAGCAATTTGTTGGATGCCATCGTATGCGATCACGCGGATGAATCCGAGGACGACGTGGACATCCGCATAGAGCGTGCGGTCGATGCGCTCGTCGCAGCAGTGAGTCATGGAGATGAAAAACTCACCGCCGCCGTGTCAACGGGCACCGTGTTGCGACTCGCCGATAAAATTTCGGTGGACAATGTGCGGAGCGTCTCGGGCGAGCGAGCGATTCGCACTCTGGTGGCGATCGCCCACGCGAACGAAGCGATCCGAAGCGACGTCGCGCGATTATTTTGCGACGTCACGCGCGAGGCACTTTCGGCGAACAACTTTGAGGCGGCGAGCGATTTGATCAACGCGATGTGCCGAGACGACGACGGAGTCCTCACTCGTTTCATGTCCGGTGCGAACGCGCAAACGGCGTGCGAGACGCTCGTCGATTTTTGTCTCGACGAGTGTGATACGTCGGGAAGTTTCGCGGCGAACGGAGTGCGCGTTGTCGCAAGTGCGATGGCGAACTGCAACGCTGAGGCGCAAGCGCGACTGGCCGCGCGAGCGTTCGACATTGAAAACGACAAACCTGAGATGTCGTGCGCGGTCATCTGCGGTCTTCGCCCTGATGTCGTCTTCGACGTCTCACGTCTACAGGATGTTCTCAAGTCTCTCGTGGATCGCGCGACGACGTCCACTGATCATGGAATGCGAGCACAACTGGTCGCCGCCGCGTGCGGTTCAGTCGTGCGCAAGTTTCCTAATATCGAGTTCGCAATGCCATCGCAGGATCTATCGAACCAAGGCGTAGTGTTGATCCATGGAGCGTGCATGCGCGCGCGCGTCATGCGCCGGGATGTTTCTCCCGAGTTCGAAGCAGTCGTGTCTCGTCTCATCACCGCACTCGATGTGACTTTGACAAACGACACTCATGCGGCGAAAGGCGCCGCGCGCGCGCTTGGAATGGCGGTCGGATTCGATGCCGAACAACGAATGCTCGCGCTCGGCTTGCGTCCGTGCACGCATGCAAATGAGATGTTTTTGGCGAATCAACGATTCTTCACGAAAATCGCGCCGGTGCTCATCGCCAGCGCTCGCGGCTCCGTCGGAGAGGCTCGTCTATTTTGCTCTTATGCGGCGACCAAGCTCGCGGGCGGCGTTCCCGCCTCCGTCGCACTGAACGAACAGTTCGATCTGTTCCCGTTCTTGTCGGACGTCTTGATTGCGCTGACGACGGGTTCGCTCGGGCACGACGTCTCCTCGACGCGCACGGCGCTCGATCTTGTGAGCGCCCGGCTCTCCAATCCTGCGCTCGGCGGCGGTGCGGACGTTGTCGAGCTGCACGCTGTGTCTCTCATCCAAGCCCTGTGCGACATCGCGGTCGAGCGAGACGGAACGATGACCATGGACATCCGCGAACGCGCCCTCGACGCCCTCTTCGCGTCGTCGACGCTCAAATTCAGCGTCACGTTTCCCGTTTGCGATCGAGCGCTCCAAGCCGCCGAGTTCGCGTGCGATGATCCAAAACGTCGCGTTCGCCGAAGCGCCGCGCGCGCGCGCCAGGCCTGGATCGCGTTATCGTCCAAATAGAATGATTCTTTCACTGTATTCATCCACACATTGATACATGAATCGTTTCGCCTCTCACCTTCGACGTCTTTGCCTTTGTATGCGTCCGCACACTTCGCCTCACGACGATGTGTCCCGACGACGACGTCGGCGTTCCCATCGAGCGCGTCGACGTAAGTGATGTACCACTCGTGAAAGATGCGCCCTCGACGTCCGACGCAAACGCGAATGAACGCGTGCAGAGCTCCGCGCGCGCATCCGCGCAGCAACCTTTGGGTCACCGCGCGTCGCGAGGTCGAGCGACGTTCGAGCCACGAGCGCGCTCGAGAGACGCGCACGCTCAAAACTGCGGGTGCATGCTCTGTCGTACGCGTCTTCACGAGCCAGAGCGACGATCGGGAGAGGAGAGCGACGAGGAAGAAGGCGCGGTTCCGAAGGAGGTTGTGCGGCGCGAGCGGGACGAGCGCGCGTCGAGGGATCGATTGACACTCGAGCGTTGCTCGCGGTTGGACACACCGCGAGCGATTACGTTCTGGCGCGAGTTTCTATCGAAAGCCACGAGCGGGGGGAACGGGTTGATGCCGTATTGGCGAACGAACTCGACTCCCGAACCGAGCGGCGTCAAGCGTCCACGCGACTCGGAATTGCTATTGAATTCTCCAGAGAGCGTGCAAAAGCAAAGGCGCGAGTGCGCGACGGAAGGTGAAAACACGCATAGTTAATAGTTCATAGAGGGTTTTGTTGTACACATTAGCGAATAGCGTGATGCCCGTACCTTTCATTCGTCGACGCAACTCGTCAAAGCTCCAACGCGTCGTGGTCGCTCGCGCGTCACACTTCACCGCGCCAACATCGTCGCCGTCGTCATCCGCGCCCCACTTAAAATGGAGAAGATACGCAACTTTGACTTCGGCGCCTTATTCGGTCTGGCGAAGACGCCAGAACAAAGAAACCGAGAGTGGCGGTTGCGATTGAAATCTATGCAGCGACAATTGGACGTGCAGATTAGGGACATCGAGCGTACGCGGAAGCAAACCGAGCGCGAGATCAAGCGATGCGCGTCGAGGAATGACGCGCGAAGCGCGCGAGCGCTGGCGAAGGAGATCGTGAGCGCACGCAGGGCGATCTCAGAGCTGTACGTGAGCAAGGCGCGAATGGCGAGCGTCGAGCGAGCGTTGACGAGACAGAGCGCGACATCGAAGTCAATCGACGTGATAAAGACCTCGAGCGAGGTGTTGAAGGCGATGAATGATTTGGTGCGAACGAGTGCGGTGCGAGAGGACGCCAGGGAGATGGGACGGGAGATGTGTCGAGCCGGAATCATCGAAGAGCTGGTAGAGGATGCGATGGACGATTTAGTCAGCGACGACGAGGAAGAGACGGAGAACGCGATCGAGGACATCTTGAGAGAGATCACGGGTGAGGTGGTCTTACCGGACGCGGGTAAGGAGACCGAGAAGAACGAGGTCATGGCGAAAGAGACTTCAGAGGCGTCGCTTCCGGGCGAGACCACCACGGCGGACCTCAAGGCCCGGCTCGACGCGATGCGCGAGGAAGCGGCGTGAACCGTCTCGTTTTTCATCATTTGTAAATTTATTTCCTCGTCACCGACGCGCGCGGTCGTCTCCGCGAACATCGACGTCGACGAAACAAAGTCTCTCGCGACTCGCGCGCGCTCGCCCCCTCGCGCCGCATTCGTCACCGCGCTCGTCTCACCGCCATGGACGCCCCGAAACCGATCGCGGTGTCGACGCGAATCGTTCGTCACCGACCGCGTTCGACGTCGAGACGCGAAGCGACCGATCGACGGCGCACGACGACGAATCCTCAATCTAACGGTTTTTTGTCCCGCGAGCCAAAAGTCGACGTCGACGGCCGCGCACGTCTCGCGCGCTCGCGTTCGAGCTCGATGGACGACATGGAAACCGTATCCGTGGACGTCGACGGTCGGAAGCCGTCGAAGTCGAAGTCGTTGCGAGATTCATTCGACGCGGTCCGAGGGGCGGTGCTCGCGCCGAGCGAGCCGCCGAGCGCCGCGTCGACGACGCGTTCGTTCACGACAAAGGTGCGGAGCGCGTTCACGGGATTGGTCAAGGACGTGTCGATGACATTTGACGAGGCGTGGACGAACAGAGAGGAGCGTGAGGTGAGAGAGGACGCGAGGGAGCGGAAGAAGCGCGCGCGAACGCTGGTCGCCGAGCGGAAAAAGCGCGCGAGAGACGCGAAGAGTCGAGCGGAGCTTCGGGCGATGCGCCCGGCGACTGAGGTGTGGACCATGGGTGTACATGAGAAGAACGCCATCGGACTGGACTGCGATGAGATGCACTTCGTGCCGATCGGTGAGGCGAGCGGATGGAGCGCGGCGTTGTTGAGGTATCGCGCGGACGGCGGAGCGGCGGAGACGACGACGCGACGACCGATCATCATGGTCCCAGGGTGTGCGTCGAACGCGATGACGTTTGATGTGGATAAATCAGTTAGTCTTGCGAGATATCTCTCGGAGCGAGGACATGAGGTTTGGATCGTGGAGTCACGCGGCGTTGGGTACGCGCGAAGGTGGAGTCGCCCTCGTTCAGATTACGTCAACTTTATCAAGGTTGACGACGGCGATGGCGTTGAGAGAGAGGTTGAGGTGCCAAAGATGCGCTCTGTGGGATTCGGACTTTGGGATTTCGACACGCTTCTCAACGAGGATTTGTTTTGCGCGTGCGAGTATGTTGCTCGTGTCGGCGGTCGTGGCGATTTGGCGGGCGTCGGGCACTCCATGGGTGGCATGCTCGTTGGCGCGCTCGCAGCAATCGGGCCTAAGCCGAGTGACATCGGTGTGAGCTCATCATGGTCCATGACGCGCGTGTGCACGATCGCTTCGTGCCTCGAGTGTTCTGAAGAGAGCGATCCCGAGTCGCCGGTATCCGTATACGCTCGATTCTCGGCGATGGCCGGACATCTCCCGCGCGGTCTCACGGCGAATCCGAGCACGACGTTCGTACATTTGCCGATAGCACCCGCAAGCGTGGCCACGGCTGAGGCGTTCCAATTCGTACTCGGCCCGCCACCGCCAATCGACGGCTCCAAGCCGGATCCCGCCAAGGCGTTTTGGCAAAATTCAGTGTCGCCAGTAACGTGTCATCCTGGCGCCACCGACCCGGAATTCCTCCGCCGTTTACTCTTGAGGGGATTCGATAACGTCCCGCTGTCGCTCTTGATACAGATGGCGACGCTCTTCACCCCAGGAGGCATGCGTAGTCGCGACCCGACGATGGGCGTCGACGAATCCGCGGGCGTCCGAGCCAAACTCACGCGCGACGGCGAGCGATTCCGCTATATCGACGAGCTCGCCGCCGCTCAAGTTCCCTCTCTCGCGGTCACCGGCGACGTGGACCCGATCTTTCCTCCAAACCAAGTCAGGGCGTACGCTAAGAAAATCGGTGCCGAGTGTCATGTCTTCGGCGACATTGACGCCCCACGAGACGACCCCGACGCTCACTTCAGCCACTACGACGTCATCTGCGGAAGACACGCGCGGGAAAGAGTCTTCCCAACCATCGCCCGCTTCTTTTTAGAGCTCGACTGAGATGTCATTTTCATCGCACGCGACGCACGCTTTAATCCGCGCGTCTGACAACCGCTCGCGCAACCGCGCCTCAGACGCCCACGCGTCGACGCATGCGCGCGAGCGCTCGCATATGCCCATCGCGGCCGCTTATACGAGTGCGTCAACGTCTGAGTGCGCACGCATAGGACACAACGAGCGCGGGAACGCACGACGCGTCGCGACGAAGATGCGCGCCGCCGGTGCGCATGAGAATGAAAACTGCACTTTCGAGGACTCTGCCCGCGTCGCGAACGCAAATTCGAGCGCGAGAGGAGCGTCGTGGCGCGCCGCGCACAGAGCTGAGTTCGCCCAAAGCGTCGCCGAGGCGCACGAGGCGACGGCGAGCGCGACGGTGATCGATTTCTTGGTGAACGACGACGCGCTGCTCGGACCGCGCAAGTGGTTGGGCGCGGCGGTGACCTCCACGGGCGATATCTACGGCGTCCCGAGTCACGCTCGGAAGGTTTTACACGTCGATCCGAGGAACGGGACGATGGAACTCATCGGGAGCGAGTTGACGATGACGCACTTTAAGTTTCTACGCGGCGTCGACGGGAAAAATGGACACTGCTACGGCTTGCCCGCGTGGGGCGAGGGCGTGTTGAAAATCGACGTCGAGACGGGCGAAACGAGCATGATCGGGGTGGGATTATATAAACAGATGAAGTGGCAGTGGCACGGTGGGTCGCTCGGGAGCGATGGCGCGCTGTACGCGGTGCCGTGTAACGCTTCGTCGGTGCTCAGGGTGTGTACGAAGACCGAGCAGGTGAGCTTCATAGGCGAGGACGTCATACCGAAGATGAGGAACAAGTGGTACGGCGGTATCAAGGCCCCCGATGGGTCGATTTACGGCGTCCCTTACTGCGCCGATTCCATCATTCGAATTGTGCCGGAGACGCAGTCGGTGGAGTTGTTGGAGCTCAAGGGGGCGAAATTGGAGCGAGACACGTACGCGTGGCACGGCGGCATCTTAGCCCCGAACGGTTGCATTTATTGTTTTCCATCCCATCACGAGCGCGTGATGAAGATTGATACCGCAACGCGGGAGTGCACGTTGATCGGTCGATCGCTCGGGGAGAAGCGGTATAAGTTTGGCGGTGGATGCGTCGGCCCCAACGGCGACGCCGTCTACGCGTTTCCGAGCGATTACCACGCGGTGTTGAAGATCGACACCACCACGGACGAGGTCTCCCTCGTTGGAGAGGGCTTACCAGGAATGCTCCCGGATCTACTGAACAAGTGGCAGAACGGAGTTTTGGCCCCCGACGGATACATATACGGCGTCCCGTGCGACGCTCCGTCCGTGTTACAAATCGACCCGCGCGCGGATTCGTGCAACTTTTTGGGATCTCTGGGCGACTTGCCCGATAAGTACCAAGGTGGTTTTCTCGACAAGGATTCAGGCGTCGTCTACTGCGTTCCAGAGAACGCGGAGAACGTCTTGAGAATCTGTCCACCAGGATCGACGCCGAATCCGCCCGCGCGCGACGGCGCCGCCCACGACGCCAAACCGCGCCGCGCGTCCCCCCCCGACGCCTCCGATGACCCCTAGAACGCGCGCGATGTATCCCAAGAAATATCTCACGCGCGCGCACACGTCGAATCACCACCGTTCGCGCCCACGTATCTCGCTCCGTCGTCGTCGCGTCCGTTCGCGCGCGTCTCCATCCAGGGTTCAGCCACAGCCACACGCCCGGTCCCGCACTCGTCGTCGCGTCGCCAATGTTCCCGAGTTGGCTCGCGAGCTCGGCGTCGGAGTCCGACGACGACGCCGACGCGCGCGATGACGACGACGTCCACCGCGCGCGCTCGTCGTCACCGAACGGTGCGCGAGGGAGCGAACGATCGAGATTACGAGCGATCGGCACGACGGTGAAACACGAAGCCAAGGACCGGCTCGGACGCTTGGTGAAGAGCGACGGCGCGAGCAAAGCCGTGGACGCGGTGACGCGATTCATCGTCGATCCGAAGAGTCACGGGGCGAATGAGAGGGTAGATGCGCTCAAGGCGCGGACGAAGGCGCTGTGGACGAACGCGCTGAGAGACGACGAAGAGAAGATTGAGAGGGCGAAAAACGTGACGACGAAGGCGCTGGAGATCACGGAGAGGTTGGCGTTGAGCGCTGATCCCGAGGGTGAGGTGGCGCACACGTTCGCGGACGCGGCGAGGCGGATGAAGGGGATCGTGCAGGGTTCTAAGAATCGAGAGGAGGCGCTCGAGCTGAGTAAGACTTTAGGGAAGGACGTGTGGGAGAAGCTCAGCGAGCGAGCAAAGGGGAGCAATCACTTTTCGGGGATAAAGGGTACGGTCGAGCGAATCGTCGAGCGCGTGAAGGGGTTGATGGAGAAGCTCAAGGAGGAGAAGTTAAAGCGAGACGAGGCGGCGGCGATTTCCTCCGTGCTAAACGCCGGAGGGAACGTCTCGAGCGAAGAGATCGATACGAGGCTCAAAACTCTGGCGCAGGAGAGCAAGGACGTGTGGAGCGATCTACGGGCGGACGCGCAGCTCAAGGAGCTGATGCGAGAGGAAATCGTGCCTGGATTTGAGCGATTGATTCGAGGCGCCGTGCACGTCTCCTGCGAGCTCATGTCCAAGCTCGAGCTCCCACGCGTGGACGGTGTTTATGACTCCCCGATCGGCTCGGTGTGTTACCACGTCGATAATCTCAGATTCACGGAGTTCAAAATAGACAAGGAGTCGCTACGAGTGCACAACCACATGGATGAGGACGACGAGGGCGCGGGGTTGAGCACGACTGTCGAAGTCACGGACATCAACACAGTCATGAAGGACGTGGAGTTCGCCTACTGCGAGTTCCCGCGAAACTGGGGCGTTGTCGACGGCGAGGGCTTGTGCACGGTTACCGTGGACGGGGCGAGCGTCGGGATTACGTACGAGATCATCATCAACACGCAGCAGCTCATGAAGCTAGTAAATCATGGAGTGGAGTTGGCCAAGGATGACGCGAAACTCGCGGAGACTAAGGCGAAGATTGAGACAAAATTGAAGGAGAGAAAGGAAGCGAAGGAACGCGAGGCCGCGGCGAAGGCTTCAAAGGAAGCGGCGGCACCCGTGAATATTCCAAGCAATGACGCGCAAAACGATATTCGCAAATCCCCCGATTCGGTGAAGAGCGAAGAGTTTGGCTCACCGCAGGGTGAGGTCGATGCGTTGGGCTCTGCCCTGGACAGAGCGTTCGGGGCGAACATGTTCGCCGACGCGAGCGCTGACGTTGATTCCCCGCCCATGTCGCCGACAGCGTTCCATGATGCCACGGATGATGCGCGCTTGTTGAACGCTGAAGAAAAGCTCGCTCGCAACCGGAAGGTGGTGGGTGAAATACTTGGAGACGACTTCCTCGGCTCGGAACCAGTGCTGGAACTTCGCGTCCATACGACGCACATTCATATCGGCGAACTCGACGTGCAAATCAGCGGCACCTCCGCAGCGTGGCTGTACAATATGATTGCGCTCGTTCTGACTCAGCAGCTCCGCGGCACCATCGAAGAGAAAATCAACAACATCACCGTCAAGCAGCTCGCGCGCGTGAGTGGCACCGTCGCCGCGTACAGCGCTGGTTTGATTGAGTTGTCCATTTATCAGGACGAAGAATCCGACGACGAGTTCGGGTCCATGCTCTCCGGCGTCACTGGTTCCTTGCGAGAAAATCCGGGCGTCTGGGGCGAGGACTGGCGGTGTTCACACTGCCCCGGCGAGGCCCCCGAACACGTCGAGGCGCGTCGAAAATTCGGTTCTCGTTCGCAGTCAAAATCTTCCTTCGGCACCGGCCTCGACGAGATTGTGGATGAGGTGGAGAGACTTGAGCGCGCCGCCGCCCAACAACAGGCGGACGGTCACTTAGAAGACGACGACGTCGACTGGCACGACATTGCCAGCCCGATGTAGTAGCGATTAATCACCATAATAGTCCGCCGTGCATTCATCACGTAACACGTAACAGCCTCGTTTCGTCTTGTGCTCGCACGTCGTCCGAACGCCGCGAGCGCCTCCGCGCTCGACGTCCCGCTCGACGTCCCGGCCTCTGTTCGCGCTCACGTCCGCACTGATCGACACCGAGCGATGTCGAGCGATCGAAAACCCGTAGCCGCGATCGTGGGTGTCTTCGCCCTCGCCCTGTTCGCCGTACGCGCGCTCAGAGGTGATAAAAACGCGTCAAAGCCGAGCGATGAACAGAATGCGTCGAATTCAAAATCAACAGTTCGAGTCGGAACATCGGTGAATGACGGCGCGAACGCGTCGAGCGAGCGAGCTTTAAACGCACCGAAGTCGCACGCGTCACCGCTAAAACCGCGGGCGACGACGAGGGACGAGATCGCCGGTGGATTGGCTCCGATCGAGCTTTGCGCGCGCGGCGCCAGGGCGACGGTGAGCCCGTTCGGCGCGACGGTTGTAAAGTTGGAGTTCGCCAGAGATGGGGAGGACGGCGCTCGGGACGATGTGGTGTTGGGATACGATGACGTGGAGAGTTACGATGAGACCACCGGGCGGCCGTACTTCGGGGCGGTGTGCGGACGCGTGGCGAATAGGATCGCGAACGGGACGTTCACGTTGGGATCGAAGACCTACGCGTGCGCGAAGAATAACGGTGACAATACGCTTCACGGCGGCCTCAGTGGATGGGATCGCAAGCGCTGGACGGTGGAGGATCAATCCCGATCGAGTGTGACGCTGAGCTACGAGAGCGAGAACGGAGAGGAGGGTTTTCCGGGCAAGGTGAAGGCGTTCGTCGTGTACTCGCTCGTCGGTTTTGGTGAACGCGTCCAGCTCCAGTGCGACGAAAAGGAAAAGAAGGTTGCATTGAAAGTGATCAACTGTGCGGAATTCACGACGAAAATGACGGCGACGACGGATCAGAAGACGCCGATCTCCACCGTGCAGCACACGTACTTCAATCTGAATGGACACGATCACGGCGGCGACGTCGGCGATCACGTCATCGAAATGCCGAACTGTCACACGTACGTTCCGGTCAACGACGAGACGCTCATTCCCGTGGGTAAGGGATTGGAAAAAGTCGACGGTACCAAGTTTGACCTTCGACAGCCGACGCCCATGTTTGAAAAGTCCAGAGAGGGGTACGATAACTCGTTCGTCGTCGCCGGTGCGGACGCGACGAGACCGGCGAGCGAGCTGCCGCGCGAGGCGCCGAGGCTTGCCGCGCGCGTCTCCTCGACGACATCCGGGCGCGTTTTAGAGGTCTTCACCGACGCTCCCGGCGTACACCTGTACACGGGTAACTTTTTATCGCCGGATATGATCGGGAATACGAAAGAACACGCGAGGTATGAGCGACAGAGCGGATTCTGCCTCGAAACCGGTTGGTTCCCCGACGCGGTGAATCAAAACGCCAAGGTTGGTAAGACATACCCGAGCGTCGTCGTGAGCCGTGGGGACACGTACTCGCACACGCTCACGTACCGCGTCAAGCGAGCGTGAGAAAGGCTTAACGAACGGCGGGGACGACGACGAATCAATACCGCGGCACGTCCGATGCGATACGATTTCTACGTTTATTTCATTAACCGTACGTGAAGACGTATCTCCTGAGCATGAGGGTCAAGATTACGATGCCGCAAAATATCGCCAGTGGCATGTACTTTTGAATCAACGCCTGCCTGCTCAGATCCCTCGCCTTTTTGCTATACTTCTTACTCGCCTCGGACAGATTCCCGCTCATCGCACTCACGCGATCCAACCGCTCGCCCTGTCCCATGATGTCGTTGATGTTTCGCGTCATGATCTGTTGAATATCGTGCAGGTCATCGTTCAGTTTATTCAGATTTCTCTGCGTCCGCGCGTCCGAGTACAACTTCTTCGTCCTCTGAATGAACGTATCGAATTTAATGAACGCGTACGGCCGTCCCACCGTTCCCACCTCCTCCCCGTGTCTCTCGCTGAATTCGTTTTGCAACTCCTCCAGGTACGCGTACGCCAACTTTTTCGGATACGTTCGATCGCACACGCACAGATAACACACGTTTTCGTGTATCACGTAGTGCATCAACAACTCCGAAGTGGTCTCGATCGTCATCCTCGACGGCGGCGGTCCGCTCGAGGGATCACTCAGCTTTTTAAACAGCGCCTTGGCTTGTCGCTTCGCCGTCTCCGTGCCATCCTCCACCGGGTCCACGCTCGGGGTCGTTCGCGTCGACGCGTCCAGGGACTCCGCGAGGGGTAAACCATCGTTCACTCTCGCCAGGAGCGTCGCGCGCACCATGGTCGCGTCGCCGTGTGTCTCTGGAGCGCGCGCACGTGCGAAATAGAAAGAATGCGCGAAAGAACATTGTGTGCAGACGTCTTCACGTCGATCTCGATCGCACCATCGATCGACGACCGCACGCCACCGCGCGCGCGAGCGAGGACGACGACGGGCGACCGACGACGGGATGGACGATGCGGTGCGTCGCGCGCGACCGCGATGATGCGCGCGCGACCGCGATGGCGCGCGCGGAGATTGACGATGCGCGCGACGGCGACGACCGCGACAGAGTAATCCATTCTTAGACGTCGATGGGAGCGATGACGCCGGGTTCGGGCCCGAGGGGGCGTTCGCGGGGCTGTCCGCGATGGTCGACACGCGCGAGGGGACGAGCGAACGATCGGGGCCGACGGATGGGGTGGACGGCGGGCGCGCGCGCGGAGTGTTCGGAGGCGCGGCGTCGGCGAACGCGCCGAAGAGTTTGCGGAACGAGAGCGAGCGCGGCGCGAGCGCGGTGGGGGGGGG